TATATACCCAACCCTAGTACTATATAAAGGAAAGGGATGTAACGACGGAACCACCCCCTCTTCAATCAAAGTTAGATTTCACCCCGTAAACTATTTTTAGCCCCGTCGAAAGCGAGATGATTTCCCTACAAAATGAGCTATAAATGGTCACGATCGGATCATTATTTCAAAAGTTATACGCCACGACTCACCGAAAACAGCTACCTCAGCAATTCCAAGCCAAAATCATGGATCACCCAAGACAGCGAAAACTCACCTTTTAAATTCGTTTATTAATTCCAGCCACGTTGACAGTACCTTTGTAGGGCTAGATTCGATCGGCAGCGGCATTCCACGGGTCTAAAAACTTATTGCAACATCTACAAATCATTTCCATAGTTTACGTGGAGAAATCTAACTTTGATTGAGGAGGGGGTGGTTCCGTCGTTACATCCCTTTACTTTTAAATAGTGCTAGGTTAGGGTCTATGCACCTATCTGTCTTTCTAACGCTGTTTCTAAGCGTGACACGACCCTGTGGCTTCATCATTGCAGAAAGGACTAGGCGGTGGGTGAAATAATGTGGTTCAGGGACTGTGAGACAGACTTGACTAAAAGCTAAAAGCTGTGTAAACTATATACTCACGTCACTCCACTTGCGGTCTGACAGCAGCAGGAACACTGTCCATGTCATTGAAGATGATGGTTGGTAGCATCTCAAGAAACGGCTCCATAATCATCCCCCGCAACGTGTTTTTGTGGTGGGTGGGGTTTATCAGAAAGGACTCTGTCCGTCCGTGCAACTTCGTTTTTTCCCGGACCAGAACATAAAAACCGTTTAATATTTCTTCACCAAACACGGCACATAGAGAGGTCTAGTGGTGAACTGGTACCTTTGGTAGTTTGGGATTTCTGAATAAAATATTTTTTTGCGTTTCCATGGCAACATATTTGACTTTGACTGAAACTTTTCCGGACCCGGGCCTAGATTTTCGAAGCTCTCTTAGCGCTAGATAGTCGTAAGTTAAAGTAATGTATGGCGCTTACAGCTATCTTAGCGCTAAAAGAGCTTTGAAAATCTAGGCCCAGAACTTTAAAACCGTTCAATGTTTCTTCACCAAACTTGGCACATAGGTAGCTCTGGTGGTGAACTGGTGCCTTTTGGTAGTTTGGGATTTCTTAATAAAATGGGTTTTTTGCATTTTTATGGTAACAAGTTTGATTTTGACTGAAATTGGTGGTGGTGCTCTTTTCCGGAGAAAATACTTCAATACACTCTTTCCACTGTGGGGATGCAAGAACCTACTGACATAAATCAACAGTACCACTCTATTTCCTCAGCGGACTCGGAACACGGGCGAGTGAGTGAGGGAGGGAGCGAGTGAGCACAGGCCCTCGTGTCTTTGCGAAGATTAAAGGTTTAAAAAATAGTGCTTTTGAGATGACCCCCCGACTCGAAATGCCTCACAGTACAATACATTATGACGAGGCCGGACACTTCGGTGCACCCTACCCGACTGCTTTGCCGATAGCTACGCTACCATCACATGCAATCAATTAAAACTTAATGTAAACATAATCATTGTTGCTAAAAAGGTTAGGCAAGCCCCCAATACTATCTAAATATAAAGCTTCGTAACCTATCTGGCTTACACGAACAAAATCGGCTTGCTACGCGCCTGCCAACTGATGAATAACATGAAATAATAAACACCGTGTTTCAAAAAAAAGAAAAAGAAGAAATAAGTACCGTGCTTCCTCGACCATACGCCAGGCCTCGATTACACGCTGGGTGTTAATTAAAATACCGCAGGGCGGCAAGACAGCAATTTATTGTATTGCAGAGAAGTGGATGGTAGTTGATTATAGGTTCTAACAGCGGTACAATTCGATTTATTAAAAACTTACTTGTTAAATGTGCGAAATCTCACCCACCGGAAGCGCTCGTAAAACCTACAGCATCGCAACACAGCGCAAAGACCGTTTATGGTTCGGTTCGCAATGCTGTATTACCGCTCTGTCTGTGTTACACAATACTCGCTCAGCCTTCGGAAAAACAGGAGGAACGTTGTAACTGTTTTTTATCATCTCGAATCAGATTAATGACCGGACATTGTGCGCAATATATCACAAAACGTTGTCACAACGTTGCAGGGGCGTACTATCGTAACGTCCACGTTGCTGCAATAAGGTAGTTTGTCAGCTGATTATCGTTGCGTGCGTCCTCGTGTTCAACATTTAAGTAATGTTTGATGACACTGCAACGCCATTTGATGAAAGTTCAAATTTAACTCTATGTTCATTGAGTGGTACACAACGCTGCGACTCAATTACTAAACTGTGATACGGAAGTTAATTGAAATAGTCTACGACTGTCTGGAAACAATAAACTACGAAGCAATAAAAGACATTCATTTTGTAATTAACAAATAATTGGTCCATTTAAGTTCAAATTGTAAATCTTGCCAAATCTCATCTTACTGAGGAAGAGTTTCCACTTACCTACGTCAAAGTGAAATTAGACTTTAAAATAGGATTGAGGAAACGGATTGCCTCGGGGAAAAGGCTAATTCTACACAATGTACAAGTGCTACAACTGACCAGTAAATATAGCAAGCATACTGTAAATACCCTGCTTTCAGCTCTCCCCTTGCAGATTCGGGTTAGAATTGATTTTCAGCAACCCATGCTTGTCGTAAAAGGCGACAAACGGGATTGGGTGGTCAGGCTCACTGACTTGGTTGACACATGTCATCGTATCCCAATTTCGTAGATCGATGCTCATGCTGTTGATCACTGGATTGTCTGGTCCGATTATTTTACGCCGCCAAATAGCTGGAATATTGTTGAGCGCGGCGTTAACAGCAAACAAAATTGCCTTGCATGTTTCCTAGCAACTTGCCTTGACATGAAGGCAGACGCGTGAAAGCATAATTATTTTTAAAAATGTAAAGTCAAAATAAACCAACCGAATAAAATCGATTCATTGATTGTATGAAGCAGGTCCAAAACACAAGTTCTGAAACGGGGCGACGGGAGTAGCCCGTGGTGGTAAAAACGGTTGACCCGTCACGCATAGATCTGGTTCCGGTTCATGACACCTATGATGCGAACTGCATACCCCCAGTTGACAGGGCGGAAATACTGACTGCAAATTGCATATTAAAACTAAACCCACTTTCTGACCACTAAAAATATTTTTGAAAAATATATTTGATCTGTTTTTATGTGTGTAAAAAGTTACGTGCCTTAATGCAAACATACTCTCCATGGTCGATTTCTTTGAAATTCACATGTGTGGTTCTTATTGCGTGGCTGATGTTTCAGGGAAATGTAATACTCTTTTCAAAGGATGGATAAAGAAGGCTGAAAAAAAACAGTGGAAGAAAGGATATGAATAAAATCAAGACGTATAGTTATATCAACGGAAATTAAAACGTGGGTTTGTGATAAAAAATCGTTTGTCAATCGAGTCCTAACAGTTACAACGTCGAATAAACCAGTCTCACAAAACTTTAATGTTTCCCTAATTTCTAAAATTATGAAAGTGTTAGCCATAATGATGCGTCTTTAAATGACAAATTACATTTTACGGCCACCAACTGTCAACGGAGAGCCATACATTACTGTTTTATCGACAGACGGTCTTCGTCATATGAGGAGAGCAATAAAGATAGTTGTATAACATGTAGTATCGCCCTTGACAGACCACGTGGGAACCCCTTCCCTTCTGCCTTTTCCTACGAGGTAAGATGGCGGCGCCCATGCGCTTTGATAGCTGAAAGTATATTTACCTCTGTCGTAGATCATTATCTGTGTAGCCTTCTAATTTATGTGGAAGTAAATTCTAAGGTGACCCGGCAACACATTGATATACACTCTGAAACGATAAACTGTGAAGTCTTGTCAGAAATGAAACCAAAATAATGTGACCCTCATCCACACGACACACGAGTGACGAGATAAGCCAAATATGTTATTTCTCACCACAAATACTGTTTATTTACAACACAGTAGTTAGTAGAAAAAGTTTACAATAAGGGCTCTTTTCAGTATTTTTTTCGTTTCCCGTATTTTATTTAGGAACAGGGCGAAAATAATTCATCCCTAACTCTTGCCGTTGGCAGTTAGGTACTAAGAACAGTAAGTTAGCCGAAGTCCGGTCACTGGTCGATGTCTGTAGTCATTTCGAGAAGTTACCCTGTCTTGTCATTTCGAGCCAGTAACGTATTGGTGACGAGCAAGGCAATGAAACTGATAGGGTGGGAAAGGCTTAATGTTATAGTCCCGGACCACACGGTATACAATTTATACAGTCAGTGATTCGACAACTCTTATTATGGGTGGGGTGGTTTGTACCATACTGAATAGTGTTTTTATTGTAAACCTGTTAAATCAGTATTTTGCTGTGGAGCTAATAATGTTCAAAAGTGTTTAGAAGTACAAAATGGATTTTAAAGAATTGAAGTTATTGTTTCAACACAATTACTGCGTCCAATATTGATTCAAGATATATTCACAGATATCATTAGAAGCAAATGTTTTGAAACTGTTAAAATCGTCGTTGTGTCCATATATATGCATTAATTAACCAGCTGATTGGGTCCCTTAAAGCTTACATGCAATGCAAAACACAACTTTGCTGATTCTGATACAGCTCTTTGACAGCAGCAGGGCGGTGGGGTAGCCTAGTGGTTAAAGTGTTCCTTGCCATGTGGAAGATCCGGGTTCGATTCCCCACATAGGTACAATGTGTGAAGCTCCTTTCTGGTGTCCCCTGCTTTAATATTGCTGGAATATTGCTAAAAGTGGCATTAAACCATACCCACGTGCACTCACTCACTTGACAGCAGCCATTTCTGTCCAAGCAGAGGAGAGTCACAATGAGGCTTGAACATCAGACGACTCAAATCTCGACTGCTGGACCACATCGTGGGTTTTAGGGTTGTTTTCATGTTGGCCAGGGTGATAAACCACAGAAGTTGTTTATGTGTTGATTGGACGACATATTTCAGGTAAATGGTAAAAGTACAATGTTGATATTTTGTTTCAGACGTGAAAAGCGAAGATGCAGATCTTCGTGAAGACTTTGACGGGCAAGACCATCACCCTTGAGGTGGAGCCCTCTGACACTATCGAGAATGTCAAGGCTAAAATCCAGGATAAGGAGGGTAAGCACATTCATAATAACAGTGTCGTCAGGCCGAAGACCCGAGTTCGATTCCCCACATAGGTACAATGTGTGAAGCCCATTTCTGGTGTTTCCTGCCGTGATATTGCTGGAATATTGCTAGAAGAGACGTAAAACTAAACTAGCTCACTCATAAAAACAATGTGTCAGTTGATATGACTACCAGGTGTAAGGAATTATTTGGAAAGTCATTGTTTTAAGTTGCTAAATCAGCTAATGTCAAGGCCTCCACTGACAACAGTTTTTTAATATTTTTTTATTCTTATGGGAGGAGGCTTTAAGTTTGAGCTGTCAGGCTGTCTGTCATACCATAAGATATTATAATGTGGTACTACTTGTTCCCTGCCTGGCGCTCTGCATTAATGGGTACAACAAGGACTGGTCGGCTTGGAGTCAGTATAATGTGTCTGAGTGGGGTATTTATGCTTGGTATCTCCGTGAGCTAGCACTATAAAACCAGCTTAAGTTTGTGCTAGTACAAGCAGCCACACATCCACATGCATGTACGTCTTCATATTAGTGAAATATTCGGAAGTACGACATAAAAGCCCATTTCACCTCACCTTCTACCTCCTTTGTAGGTATTCCTCCAGATCAGCAGAGATTGATCTTTGCTGGCAAGCAGTTGGAAGATGGCCGCACTTTGTCCGACTACAACATTCAGAAAGGTAGGTTCTATTGAGCTTATTGATTTATCTATCATCCCGAGAAGGGCATTTATTCTGGAAATGGATAATTTAGGTTGTGAATCAGTAAGTGGCATGCCACATAAGCTTGTTCCATATGATTGGTTGTTATGTCTTGATCAGGTATGAAAATGTCAAGATTTACAATTTGAGTGTAATATAATTTACTTCACACTGCATTAATCCAGTTAATTTAGATTCAGCTGGTTTAAAGTACAGTAGCTGATTCCTGCTTGGTAGGAAAATCAAGCAGTGCTTATGTAAGGGAGGCAACTCCATTTCCTGATCTGGTTTAAGGATCATGTATTTAAGGGCAGTCAGCTTCTGGCTACTCTGAAATATTTGTGGCAGCAACTTCCTGAAAATTGACTCATGATTCAATACTAATTATGATGGGATACACTTAAATTGAAACTTAATTTCATGATGCCTGTTTCACATATTGTTTTGATTGTAAGGCAGTACCATATATTGCTTCAGGCCTTGTCACTTACAGCAGCAGTTGTCAGCAATCTGTGTCTTGTTGGTGTGTGTTTATTGTCAGTGTTGGCTCTTCCAGCATCCACCCTCATTCTTGTGCCTCTAGCAAGGTTTCATATGCTCTTGTTGATATGTTGCTGATAGTTTGTGTTGGCTGTTCCAGCATCCACCCTCATTCTTGTGCCACTAGCGAGTTTTCATATGCTCTTGTTGATATGTTACTGATTGTTTGTGTTGGCTGTTCCAGAGTCCACCCTCCATTTGGTCCTGCGTCTGCGTGGAGGCATCATCGAGCCCAGTTTGAGAATCCTGGCCTCCAAGTACAACTGTGACAAGATGATCTGCAGGAAGTGAGTTGTTTTCCCCAGTTCATCAGAAACACATTGTCACATGTTCCTGCTCAGTTTTACAGGAACAAATTGTCACATGCTCCTTGATCTCTTCACTAGTTATGGTTATTTGCCATGCATGGGGCATGGTGGGTGAGCTGGCTAAAGTGCCAGGCTAGTGACCCAGCGAGCTTGAGGTGTCGGGATCTAGCCCACCTGTGACTGGGTGTAAAAACCTTGGAGTCAAATTTGTGTGCAGACTCTTTCATTGTTATCACAACCCCTAGTGTACAGTACACAACCCTGTGCACTTAAAAAGACCCACGAATCTGTTGGTATATGACCAGATAATGGCCACATGAATACGTGCAAACACCTAGTTGCTGGTACAGCAGTAAACTTGGACGAAGTACTGTGACTATGTGTCCCAGTCCACCCAGCTGTGAATGGGTACCTCGTAAGGATGAGAAAGCCGCAATAACTCGATGCGCCTAGTGGCTGCAAGACTTAAATGCTCCCCAGAGAGTTGAGATTGATAATACGATGTACCGTTGAGATTGACATCCAATTATTGAGGGAAAAATACCAGCACCTTGAGCATGTACTAGTTGCGTGGATATGTGCGCTATATAAATCCAATAGTAACAGGCAAAAGAAAATTAGTCTCATTTTGAGCAATTTTAAGTCAGTTTTGTAATGCCAACCAGTTGGCTGAAGCACTTGGAATTTGTTAACCACTTATTATTAAGTGATGTGCAACTGAATTTCATCCAAAACATCATGTGTAACATAATCAAAGCACTGACCTGACTTCAGTCAATGTCGCATACACAGCTAGCACTGGTTGATACTCTTTACATCAATAATGTGGCTCTCAGATTGATCAGTAATTAACTGTACGTGCTCCTTTCAGAGGTACAGATAAGCTGCGTATCTGCGTAAATTACGCAAATATTTATGTGAAAACTCAATTCCTATTAAGTCTATTGCGCACAAGTACTCTTGAATTTTTGTAAATACATGTACTCAATAAATGTAATCTTTCATGTGTACTCACAAATGTCAAATCTTAGCTTAGTATTGGTGGATAGATAATATACCCGAGGTATATTGAGAGGTTCTATTTCAGGACATTGGCAACTTGCAGTCTTTCTTATCGTTTCTCATATTGCAGATCAAATATAAATAACAGACATGTAAACCAACATTTAAACTTTATTGTATTTTTACAATTATTGGAAAATGGCAAAATAGCCAAATAAGTTCGAGTGAGGTGGGCACAATTTATTTGGTTACTCGAAGGAAAATTAGGATACCCATCTGAGATGAACACAAACAAGTTCATAACTCATTGACCCAAAAGGTTATCTGTAGCTCTGTGGTAATTTTATATGAATATAATGAACGTTTCAATCGTGTGATCTTGTTTCAGTTAGGTTCTATAGGATAGTTTCAGTTAAGTGTATCTCTCTTGCAGGTGCTACGCCCGCCTCCACCCCCGGGCAACCAACTGCCGCAAGCGCAAGTGTGGCCACACCAGCAACATCCGCCCCAAGAAGAAGCTGAAGTAGATTATTGTACATTATATTGTGATCGCTGCACAGTGGAAATAAAATCCTGGGCAAATATGGATTGGTTGGTCCTTTTTTGTGTAATGGTGTGTTTGCTGTCCTCCAGTCAGATCAGTTCAACAGCAGGTGGTATGAATTTATTTTCTGTAAGTAGGCCATCGGACCATGTACAATCATAGGATACAAAATATCATTTTTAGACAAGGCAATATACAAGGTTACACATTATTTACACACATTTAATCTGATCAGGAGGGCATGCTTAATAAACTGCACTGTTTTTAGAAGAATACTGGTATCATTACATTGCATTAATTTATTAAACTAAATGATAGTTGGACATTGATCAAAATTTGGTAAATATACACTACGTAACCTTGCATATGAATCACAGACAAAAAGAAAATGTAATTCATCCTCTGGGATGTTGTTACACATTCTACATATTGTCGAGGCATTATCTTTTCGTCTTACATTACAGCAGGTGGTGATGGTACTTAATCAAAATTTTACAGGGCTGGATATGTTTCATACTCGTCCTAGCACAAGGCTTGCTGCAGGTGGAATTTATATTGTGATATATTTTTAACAGTTCATATTAATTACAATACCACTATTGCACACACTGGGTGTTTGGCTTGACTAGCGAATGCTTTAACCACTTTGCTACGCCAGCATTTCCAAGAGCAGTTGGTCTCAGCTTACTTTAAAGTCACTCTTTCGTCTGACTTCTGTACAGATTTTTTACCTGAGGTGTGGGTCTTGTCATGACAGGCCCCTGACAACACAATACATCAATTATAAAACAGGTATGTCCAGAACACTAAGATGGTAAGATCTTGAATACATGCTGTTGACAAGCCAATGCTATCTGTGCAGAAGATGCTTGTTATAAGAGGCAAATGAAGGGATCAGTTGGTCAGGCTTGCTGACTGGGTTCAGTCTCTATTTTATTACCCACGTGGTCAACGTATGTGTAGTCTCACACTAATCTCGTACGTCACATTGATCACTGGATTGTCTGGTCCAGACTCGATTATTTACAGACCGCCGCCATATAGCTGGATTGTTCCTGAGTGCGGCGTAAAACTAAACTCACTCACTCACGTACGTCACACGAATGTCGTATCGCGTTGACCTGTTTCGTAACGACTTGACCTGAGATTCTAGCGATTTGATTGGATAACCGATGACCTCTCATTTAGGTCACGTTGTGACGTAACTACTTTTTCATTCATAACAAACACGTGAATTCATTCATTCTACAACTTGTATGCATTGTGGGAATGTAAACATTGCGAACGTTGCCGTATAGCTGTTTAATTGTGAGTCGAACTGAGACATTGTATGCGTCGAAACACACGCAAAGTTTCCACCAGTGAGGTTAGCCCAGTGAACAACTGCAAACGGGTTGCTACGGAGTAATTTATGATCACTGTATAGTCTAGTCCAGACTCGATCATTTACAGACCGCCCTATGATAAAGCTGGAATACTGCTGAGTGCAGTGTTAACAAACAAACCAACCAATCATTTTCTGAAAGATAAACAACTTACTTTACTTTATCGCCAGAATGATATCAAAGGTCTGTAGGGGCGGTGGGGTAGCCTAGTGGTTAAGGCGTTCGCTCGTCACGCCGAAAACCCGGGTTCGATTCCCCACATGGGCACAATGTGTTGAGTGCATTTCTGGTGTCCCCCGCCGTGATACTGTTGGAATATTGCTAACAGCGGCGTAAAACTAAACTCACTCGCTCACTCAAAGGTCTGTAAATGATGCAGTCTGGACCAGACAATCTAGTGATCAACAGCATGAGCATCGATCTACGCAGTTGGGATAATGTGTCAACCATGTCTGCGAGCCTGACCACTCGATCTCGTTAGTCGCCTATTATGACAAGCATGGGTTACTGAAAGTACATTCTAACCGAGCGCCACCTGTAATGGCGACAGTCGGACGTGTCACCAAGCATGGGAGTAAATATTGAAGTTTGGCGAACCCGCACAGGATGCTTTACGCAACCCAATGCAATGCAAAAGTGAGTCAAGACATGGTATTAAACCTTGCGGAAGTTTATTGCCCCGACAATTACAAATTTTGTTGATTATTTCACTACTGCTACAACTCAGTGGTGACGTGGAACTACGAGCTCGGACCACGCGACAGAGTCAGCTCTCAGCCTCCGCGGCGGGTGTCAGTGTCAGGGGTGAAGAAGGTAATGCTGAGTTTGGGCCGATTTTGCAAGGAATAAAAGACCAATTAACTGTACTAAACAGCAAGTTTGATACTTTTGAAACTGCGATACATGACATTAAAAATGAACAAGCCGACATGTGGCGTGAAGTAGATAAACTTGCGGACGAAAACGCCATGTTAACAAGGAAAGTCGATCAACTTGAAGCACAGTCGAGAGAGATAACCTCGCTATGCTACCCCACCGTCTTCGGTCATAGAGTATCCATCTACAGGTTAACGCCGAGAGTACACCATTTATGGATGTCAATTTTTATATATAAACACACTATGTCACCACTCGGAGCTACATTATATAGAACGATACTTATTCGATAATCAATTATTTTTCATCACTATGCTATACACTCGACGTTGACCAACAGACCAAGTTTTTCGACACAATAGTCAATAAACAGTGCTAACGATACACAGTAGATAATTACTACTCTCTTCTGGACACCGTGGTCAATACTTTGTGCTCACCTACAGATCGATACATACTTGATAATCACAATTCACTTGTGGACTCTACAGTCTTTACCAACCTATAGATCGATACAAAGTCAATAATCAGTGTTCAAATCTCGACAGTCTATACTTTTCTCTAACCTATTGATCCAAACAAAGTAGATGATCAGAGGTCACTTCCACAGGCCCCCGTGTCTTTGCGAGGATTAAAGATTTAAAACAAATATATAAAAATTTGAGATGCCCCCCCCGACTCGAAATGCTTCACAGTATAATACATTATGACAAGGCCGGACACTTCGGTGCACTCTACCCGACTGCTTTGCCGATGGCTTCGCTACCATTGCATGCAATCGATTAAAACTTAATGTAAACATAATCATGGATGATTGGCCTCTGGGGAGGTAGTGTTAGTGTGTGTGTGTTAGTGTTAGTGTGTCATCAATTTTGTACACATGTCCGTGTGTGTGTGTGTGTGTGTGTGTGTTTCATCAATTTTGTACATAAAAATATTTTGCAATCAATATCATATGTAACATAGTAAATCAATTACTAATTTTGTAAATGTGTGTGTGTGTGTGTGTGTGTGTGTGTGTGTGTGTGTGTGTGTGTGTGTGTGTGTGTGTGTGTGTGTGTGTGTGTGTGTGTGTGTGTTACTGGTTGGGTAGGGCATCATGCCGCATGTTTGCCATTTTCGCAAACACCTGATGTCATCACTGTTAATTCGTTCATATTTTTCCTATTGAGTTTGCCACTTAGAGTCGAATGGAATTGTTTTTCGGATTTATAAATTCAGCATTGACAATTATTGACAATTTAAATGTATACTGTGGAAAGCAGGCAATTTATTCGAGAACATATCGGCTTGCACAACGGCCACTGCGGGTAGTGGTCTTAACGATTTGAGACTACCCCTGATCTTCCTCATTGTCATATGTAGCTACATTAACTAGCTCATCATCGCTACTGTCAGTTACACAATTGTGAGATTCATCCGTTTTATCAGAATCGTCACAGTTTTTTAAAAAGTCTGTCCCATGAGTTGATGCTTTCTCCACTAATGCCCTGGGGCTCCTTTCACGAGAAACCTTGCATATGAATCACAGACAAAAAGAAAATGTAATTCATCCTCTGGGATGTTGTTACACATTCTACATATTGTCGAGGCATTATCTTTTCGTCTTACATTACAGCAGGTGGTGATGGTACTTAATCAAAATTTTACAGGGCTGGATATGTTTCATACTCGTCCTAGCACAAGGCTTGCTGCAGGTGGAATTTATATTGTGATATATTTTTAACAGTTCATATTAATTACAATATCACTATTGCACACACTGGGTGTTTGGCTTGACTAGCGAATGCTTTAACCACTTTGCTACGCCAGCATTTCCAAGAGCAGTTTCGTCTGACTTCTGTACAGATTTTTTACCTGAGGTGTGGGTCTTGTCATGACAGGCCCCTGACAACACAATACATCAATTATAAAACAGGTATGTCCAGAACACTAAGATGGTAAGATCTTGAATACATGCTGTTGACAAGCCAATGCTATCTGTGCAGAAGATGCTTGTTATAAGAGGCAAATGAAGGGATCAGTTGGTCAGGCTTGCTGACTGGGTTCAGTCTCTATTTTATTACCCACGTGGTCAACGTATGTGTAGTCTCACACTAATCTCGTACGTCACATTGATCACTGGATTGTCTGGTCCAGACTCGATTATTTACAGACCGCCGCCATATAGCTGGATTGTTCCTGAGTGCGGCGTAAAACTAAACTCACTCACTCACGTACGTCACACGAATGTCGTATCGCGTTGACCTGTTTCGTAACGACTTGACCTGAGATTCTAGCGATTTGATTGGATAACCGATGACCTCTCATTTAGGTCACGTTGTGACGTAACTACTTTTTCATTCATAACAAACACGTGAATTCATTCATTCTACAACTTGTATGCATTGTGGGAATGTAAACATTGCGAACGTTGCCGTATAGCTGTTTAATTGTGAGTCGAACTGAGACATTGTATGCGTCGAAACACACGCAAAGTTTCCACCAGTGAGGTTAGCCCAGTGAACAACTGCAAACGGGTTGCTACGGAGTAATTTATGATCACTGTATAGTCTAGTCCAGACTCGATCATTTACAGACCGCCCTATGATAAAGCTGGAATACTGCTGAGTGCAGTGTTAACAAACAAACCAACCAATCATTTTCTGAAAGATAAACAACTTACTTTACTTTATCGCCAGAATGATATCAAAGGTCTGTAGGGGCGGTGGGGTAGCCTAGTGGTTAAGGCGTTCGCTCGTCACGCCGAAAACCCGGGTTCGATTCCCCACATGGGCACAATGTGTTGAGTGCATTTCTGGTGTCCCCCGCCGTGATACTGTTGGAATATTGCTAACAGCGGCGTAAAACTAAACTCACTCGCTCACTCAAAGGTCTGTAAATGATGCAGTCTGGACCAGACAATCTAGTGATCAACAGCATGAGCATCGATCTACGCAGTTGGGATAATGTGTCAACCATGTCTGCGAGCCTGACCACTCGATCCCGTTAGTCGCCTATTATGACAAGCATGGGTTACTGAAAGTACATTCTAACCGAGCGCCACCTGTAATGGCGACAGTCGGACGTGTCACCAAGCATGGGAGTAAATATTGAAGTTTGGCGAACCCGCACAGGATGCTTTACGCAACCCAATGCAATGCAAAAGTGAGTCAAGACATGGTATTAAACCTTGCGGAAGTTTATTGCCCCGACAATTACAAATTTTGTTGATTATTTCACTACTGCTACAACTCAGTGGTGACGTGGAACTACGAGCTCGGACCACGCGACAGAGTCAGCTCTCAGTCTCCGCGGCGGGTGTCAGTGTCAGGGGTGAAGAAGGTAATGCTGAGTTTGGGCCGATTTTGCAAGGAATAAAAGACCAATTAACTGTACTAAACAGCAAGTTTGATACTTTTGAAACTGCGATACATGACATTAAAAATGAACAAGCCGACATGTGGCGTGAAGTAGATAAACTTGCGGACGAAAACGCCATGTTAACAAGGAAAGTCGATCAACTTGAAGCACAGTCGAGAGAGATAACCTCGCTATGCTACCCCACCGTCTTCGGTCATAGAGTATCCATCTACAGGTTAACGCCGAGAGTACACCATTTATGGATGTCAATTTTTATATATAAACACACTATGTCACCACTCGGAGCTACATTATATAGAACGATACTTATTCGATAATCAATTATTTTTCATCACTATGCTATACACTCGACGTTGACCAACAGACCAAGTTTTTCGACACAATAGTCAATAAACAGTACTAACGATACACAGTAGATAATTATTACTCTCTTCTGGACACCGTGGTCAATACTTTGTGCTCACCTACAGATCGATACATACTTGATAATCACAATTCACTTGTGGACTCTACAGTCTTTACCAACCTATAGATCGATACAAAGTCAATAATCAGTGTTCAAATCTCGACAGTCTATACTTTTCTCTAACCTATTGATCCAAACAAAGTAGATGATCAGAGGTCACTTCCACAGGCCCCCGTGTCTTTGCGAGGATTAAAGATTTAAAACAAATATATAAAAATTTGAGATGCCCCCCCCGACTCGAAATGCTTCACAGTATAATACATTATGACAAGGCCGGACACTTCGGTGCACTCTACCCGACTGCTTTGCCGATGGCTTCGCTACCATTGCATGCAATCGATTAAAACTTAATGTAAACATAATCATGGATGATTGGCCTCTGGGGAGGTAGTGTTAGTGTGTGTGTGTTAGTGTTAGTGTGTCATCAATTTTGTACACATGTCCGTGTGTGTGTGTGTGTGTGTGTGTTTTCATCAATTTTGTACATAAAATATTTTTGCAATCAATATCATATGTAACATAGTAAATCAATTACTAATTTTGTAAATGTGTGTGTGTGTGTGTGTGTGTGTGTGTGTGTGTGTGTGTGTGTGTGTGTGTGTGTGTGTGTGTGTGTGTGTGTGTGTGTGTGTGTGTGTGTGTGTGTTACTGGTTGGGTAGGGCATCATGCCGCATGTTTGCCATTTTCGCAAACACCTGATGTCATCACTGTTAATTCGTTCATATTTTTCCTATTGAGTTTGCCACTTAGAGTCGAATGGAATTGTTTTTCGGATTTATAAATTCAGCATTGACAATTATTGACAATTTAAATGTATACTGTGGAAAGCAGGCAATTTATTCGAGAACATATCGGCTTGCACAACGGCCACTGCGGGTAGTGGTCTTAACGATTTGAGACTACCCCTGATCTTCCTCATTGTCATATGTAGCTACATTAACTAGCTCATCATCGCTACTGTCAGTTACACAATTGTGAGATTCATCCGTTTTATCAGAATCGTCACAGTTTTTTAAAAAGTCTGTCCCATGAGTTGATGCTTTCTCCACTAATGCCCTGGGGCTCCTTTCACGAGAAACCTTTACTAAGGTTAACCTTAACTCCCATTCTTTAACATTGCACTAAGGTCACCTTAGTGGCTTTTGATCACCTTAGTGCTTTGTAAATATAATAATTTCGATTTGCGTAGCGATCCTTTGTTTACATAGGTTGTACGGCTCCACGTGCTGTCATCGAAGCAGACGGAGAGCAAACCATGCAGCCAGTTTGATATCTAAATATGTACTGTGGTAAATCTTACTGTCGCAGTTGTGGAAGAATATACATGTAACAATGTAAAACATTGTGAAGAGCGCGCCGAAAAGCTTGCGTAAGGCCGGTCTCTTCTTATTATGAATATGCGCGTTTGTTTACAAACAAGAGAAAAGTCCGGTCACGTGATATGCAAATTAGCCTGTGGCAGTGATGTTATGCTAAGTCATCACTGCGCCGGAGTGTGCTGGATGTGTTCAACACACCAAATGAAAATCGCACTGTGGATGACTACCAACCTCGTGCTGCATTGAGAAGGTTACATGGTGATGGACATGACCTTACAAATGAATTACATATTGAACGATTTTTAGAAAAGTACATTGTACCCAAGTCAGTTGTGCAGAAATATGTGGGATCATCTTCACCATCTAGACCAGATGACGCAGATGAGGGATCGCAGAAGAGTGCGAGCAGAACAGAAAAACAAATCTTACCATGATTATCAATGGGGCGAACTCCTTATAACAGGAAAATTAGAAAAAATACTGGATTCTCATTTAGATAAATATTTTGACCAACATGGTATAAAAACAACACACAAAACTGAAGAGGGGAAAAGTAAATATAATAAAGAAACATTTAACATATGAGAACAGGGCCTCATTTCACAAAGCACTAAGGTGATCATAAGTCACTAAGGTGACCTTAGTGCAATGTTAAAGAATGGGAGTTACGGTTAATCTTAGTAAAGATTCCTTCGTGAAAGCAGCCCCAGGGCATTAGTAGAGAAAGCATCAACTCATGGGACAGACTTTTTATAAAACTGTGGCGATTCTGATAAAACGGATGAATCTCACAATTGTGTAACTGACAGTAGCGATGATGAGCTAGTTAATGTAGCTACATATGACAATGAGGAAGATCAGGGGTAGTCTCAAATCGTTAAGACCACTACCCGCAGTGGTCGTTGTGCAAGCCGATATGTTCTCGAATAAATTGCCTGCTTTCCACAGTATACATTTAAATTGTCAATAATTGTCAATGTTAAATTTATAAATCCGAAAAAAAGATTCCAATCGACTCTAAGTGGCAAACTCAATAGGAAAAATATGAACGAATTAACAGTGATGACATCAGGTGTTTGCGAAAAATGGCAAACATGCGGCATGATGCCCTACCCAACCAGTAGCAAAAAAAACAACCCCACACACCCCCCACACACCCCCATTTACAAAATTAGTAAGATATTTATATGATATTTATTGCAAAATATTTTTATGTACAACATTGATGACAAACACCCCACACACCCCACCACGGAACATGTGTACAAAATTGATGACCCCCTACCTCCCCAGAGGCCAATCATCCATGATTATGTTCACATTAAGTTTTAATCGATTGCATGCGATGGTAGCGATGCGATCGGCAAAGCAGTCGGGTAGGGTGCACCGAAGTGTCCGGACTTGTCATAATGTATTTAATTACATATCAAAACACCTGAATGTATGGTGATCACACTATATGTTATTACAGTAGAATATGTCTGTTATGTTCTATTATTACTACATATTGATACAAATATAATAAAACATATAAAATATATATTAGTTTTTATGTTCTTATTTGACTTAAATCTATGGCCCTTTTGACTTTCCCTTGGCCCTTTCGACTTTTCTTTGGCCCTTTTGACTTTTTCAATTTTGGCCCTTTTGTCCTTTCGCCCCTTTGACTACAACCCGTTTTCGCCAAAGGGGAAGAGATCGTTTCATTTGCAGATGGGCATGCTTTACATACAATGAACACTGACCTTCTAGGGTGGTATTTGATTAGATATAGATGTAAAAACATTTTCGGGCCGACAGAAATGTTTATCGGGATTGACTGAAGAAGTTATGCGTCTTAAATCCTGTTTCGTTTAACGATTCCTCTATTAGACGTAACGTTGGTCAGCCACGTTCACAGGCCGCTCGTCTTCCTGGGTTTTAAGCGATTTACTTGTAAGAAAGTGATTATGGTACGCGTTTGTGTGGCTTCTGTTTGATCAGTATTATCATGAGTGTATGTTGCATTAATTAATTGTACGCATGGTTTACGATAATGGATTTATTAGCCAATAATATATAGTTGGCCTGCCCCGGCCCGAGTTTTAGGCCATCCCTCATTTGACCCCATCCCTCATTTGACAACGTGGCTGTGTTCTGCAAACTGCGATTCAGCAAAACGTGTTCTCGTTCAAAGGAAAAGATCGCTCCAACACATTCTTCTACACCGTGACAAAAGGACTCGCTTGGCTGTGCCAGCTCTCAAAACGCAGTGAAAAGAGCTGTACAAGACGGAAGTGTAAGAAAGACGTGATAATCCGTCATTCTTATTACGAGAATAATTCGTGATTAACACTTCGTGAAAGGTGAGTGTTTCCATTACTTTCTCTAAATTCTGTGTTTGGTGATTAGAACCGTGAAACTTGTTGGGGCAAAGGGTCTGTCTTAAAAATGAGATCGAATGGCAGAACTGTGTCTGTTTTGAAGTGTGTAGGACGACCGGGAGTGTTCCCTCCTGCTAAAGTTGAACAGCTTTGAAATTGAAATCTGTACTGTATATTCTTGGGTAACGATGAGTGGTATTTTTGTTTGTCTAATAAAACCTCCCCACCTTCCATCCATGAGTAAAAACTACGAAGTCCATGTAATCTTTCGTCGCCATAGAAATCATGATACACATGTATTGATAATTCGGACGGCATCTCTCAGCAATGCAAATATTTCGTGTGTACACACAGAAACAGGTCAAGTGATCTCAGGCCAGTTAGTGATACGACAGGTATGAGAAACATGGAGCCACAGGTAAAAAGTGATTAGATTGTGATCGGGGTCACGTCAGGACTGACATGGTCACAAGTCCATTCGTCTGACTGTGAGACGATTAGGATTAGGCGCTTTCTCCCCATGTTTAGTTAGGTGTGAATATAACTCGTCCTTAGTGACCTGTTGACTGGTTGGGTGGTTTCAATCATGTCTACATATGTAGTTTCTGTGTTTTAGGTATCGCAGTGTGATCACAGGTTAACATTCTCTAAAGGCATTTAGAAGTTGATGTAGTCATACAAGACAAATCTTATGGATAACAACTTCTTGATTTATTTTTCACAACGTTTCTGGGCTAGTTCTTGCCCTTTCATCAGGTGGATAAGAATACCAGACACATAGGGATAACAACTTCTTGATTTATTTTTCACAACTAGTTCTTGCCCAGAAACGTGAAAAATAAATAAAGCAATTATTATCCATAAGATTTGTCTTGTATTATCAAAGGTTACTAGAAAACTATTGTTTTTTGGTGGGGGGTCTAAAAAAAAATATGTTGTGGTCCCGATTACCCGACCGACCCTTGAATTCTGGTGCTGATCCTATTTTTTGTAACTTACGTTGTACATAAATTTTAGGGGGGTGGGGGTGGGTCATTCACATTGTACATGCTTGTCCATAAAAATTATCATCACACACGCACGCACACACACACACACCACATAAATTATGGAGGGTCCCTAATCAGGTCTGGAGTAGACAAAGTATATGTTGAAATTATTAGAAATGTCCTTTAATGCTGGTTAATGACACGTTCAACTGGGTCCAGGATCGGATGGTCAGGCTCGCTGACTTGGTTGACACATGTCATCAGTTTCCAATTGCATAGATAAATGCTTATGCTGTTGATCACTGGATTGTCTGGTCCAGACTCGATTATTTACAGACCGCCGCCATATAGCTGGAATATTGCGGAGTGCGGCGTTAGACTAAACTCACTCACTCACTCAACTGGTCATTGCTCCAGACAGCCTAGGACAAGCAAACTCATGACCAGTTAAAGTATGATCCCAATAGTATAGATCGATGCTCATGCTGTTGATCACTGGATTATCTGATCCAAACTGGATTATTTACAGAACGTCACTATCTAGCTGGAATATTGCTGGGTGCATTGTTAAACTAAAAAAAAAGATTAAATGACACAAACTGAATTATTTAGTAATATTTACTGAATGATTATTCCAACCTTTGCTAACTGGAATACTCATTCACCTTTCATTGATGGATTCTGTTGATCTGTACTGTCCTGGTGACTGTCAATCATGACTTAGTCCTCTGCACACCAGATCAATCATCAGCTGATAATATGTCCCAGCAGGTAGATAAGGAAATGTTACCATGGCAACCGTGGACTGAAACTGGGAGAAAAAGAGAGAGACACAGCAGTTGTCATATCACCGACTGTGGGGCTCTCTCCAGCTGTGTCTTCATTGTCCTCGTCCTGACTTCCTTTGTTCTTTCGTCCTTTGTTCTTTCTTCCTTTGTTCTTTATACACATCATTCAGGATGAGGAGGGGCGGTGGGGTAGCCTAGTGGTTAAAGCGTTCGCTCGTCATGCCGAAGACCCGAGTTCGATTCCCCACATAGGTACAAAGTGTGAAGCCCATTTCTGGTGTCCCCGGCCGTGATATTGCTGGAATATTGCTAAAAAGCGGCGTAAAACCATATGCACTCACTCAGGTTGAGGACAGTGAGAAGAAGTAAATCTCCTTTAATCAGCATGTTAAGAAGTTCACAAAACAAAGTCATAATATACAGTAGTTTTGGTGTCGATTCCAATCACTTGTTTGATAACGATGTGAGAATCTGCTCCAAACCGTGGTTCATGTCGTTTCCTTACTTGGTAGGGTTAGTGGGGTAGCCTTGTGGTTAAAGCATTCACTTGTCATGCTGAAGACCTGGGTTCGATTCTCCAGATGGGTACAATGTGTGAAGCCCATTTCTGGTGTCCACCTACCGTGATATTGCTGGAATATTGCTAAAAGCAGCGTAAAAATTAACTCACTCCTTATTTAGTACAACAACTTCTATGACTCTCAAAGAAGTCTTTATGTGCGGGTTTTGAAACTCCTTGTGTAATTGTACCAATGTCATGGCTTGTATCTTAAAGTTGATCAAGTTCCTGGTGCCTAGGCAGTATATTCAGAGATCATATTCTTTTCTTGTCATGACCTATATGATGTTGAAGCCAATGGGATCTGCAGGGTAAGCCTAGTGGTTAAAGTGTTCACTTGTCATGCCGAAGACCGGGTTTGATTCCCCACATGGGTACGATGTGTGAAGCCCATTTGTGGTGTATGTGATATTGCTTGAATATTGCTGAAAGAGACTTCAAAAGCTTCTGGTTGAGTGGTGTTGTGTAAGAGTTGAAATTTGGATTTAAAATTTGTTTAACTTTAATTTTAGTGTTACATGCACTGGGATGTTGCTAAACAGTTAAGCGTCATCTAGCTTTCCCTGCTGTCCAGGGTACTGTTATCTGTGAAGTGCAATACACCTTCACAATACAGACACAACAGATGGGGTGAAACAGTATACTGCAGTATAAGTAGAACCGCAGTATTTTGCCTTTGGTTCGGTACACCGTAATGCAATCCAAAGTCTCGATTTCATAGTGTCATTTTATGACCTTTTTATATCTTTTTAAACCTTCCCTAAAATGTCTAGAAATTGAATCATTTTGTCAAGTCTATCCAAAGGCCTTGTACTGCAGTACGTACTGTACCGAGGTAAGAGCATACCGTTTCACCCCTCAACAACAGTTGTAACTATATTGGGAAATTTGAAAATGCAATTTGTGAGTTTTTACCGATATTTGCTGCAGACTTGGGTCCAGTATTAAAAACCCTGATTGGCCGCGCCATTCACTTGTCGCATCTTGTGTTTCAGATGGCAGGCAAACAGCCCTACCCCCCTCCTGGAAATTATCCTCCACCCCCTGCCGCTGGCTACCCACAGGGACCACCACCAGGTTATCAAGCCCCACCCCCAGGCTACCAGGCTCCACCCCCCGGCTACCAGGCTCCACCTCCAAGCTACCAGGCTCCACCCCCATACCAGCCCCAGGCAGCAGTAAGTATGTTCAGAATGTAAGGTGGATCATGTGTTGAATTGTCCAGATTCCATGGCTCGGGTCGACCTTGTTCAGATGCCATTAGTGTCCCCTCACAGTGTTCTATATCATATCTAACAGTGATGAGAGGACATAACAACGTATGGTACGGGTTTACAACTTCTTTATTATTTACAACACAATGTTTCTAGGCTACCTCTTTAACTTCATGAGGTGAATGATTTTAATACCCATCAAGCACTGATGAGGTGAGGTGAGGTGAAATTGGGTTTAACGTCGTGCTTGAGAATATTTCGCTCATATGACGACATGCATGCGTGTGTATGTGTATGTGCGGCAGCTTGTACTAGCCCAGACTGAAGCTGGTTTTATAGTGCTAGCCCACTGAGATACCATGCCACAGTGAAGCATGAATACCCCACTCAGACACATTATACTGACTCCGAGCCGACAAGTCCTTGTTGTACCCATTAATGCCGAACGCCAGGCAGGGACCAACAAGTACCACATTTTAATGTCTTTTGGTATGACACGGTCGGGGATCGAACCCACGACCTTCCGTTCTCCGGGCGGACGCTCTAACCACTACACCACGGAGGCGGTCAAGCACTGATGAGAGTGGTCATGCCTTCAGTCTCTGGTTGGCTCCATCCATTATTTACCATATTTACCAATATCTGCCAATATGTGGTGCTGTGTGGTCCTATGTGTAGAGCTCAGGTCACAAATCAGTTGAAGTTAAGCAACGTTGAGCTCGGACAATCCTTGAATGGGTGACAGTGTTTGACAAAGTGACACCTGAGAGTTTCTAGGACTTCAGTCCTGCACCACAACGAAGCACATGTGATACCTGTGGTCTCACCTTAGGCAAGTGAGTTTGTTCAAAATTGCCAATGTTCACCCAGCAGAAAACGAGTACACGGTGAAATAAGTTGTGAGATGATTAACCTTCTTGCACCTAACAGGCACCTCGTTCCCCGGTCGCATCATACCAAAAGACATTAAAATGTGGTACTTGTTGGTCTCTCTCTGGCGCTCGGCATTAATGGGTACAACAAGGACTGGTCGGCTCCGAGTCAGTATAATGTGTCTGAGCGGGGTATTCATGCTTCACTGCGGCATGGTATCTCAGTGAGCTAGCACTATAAAACCAGCTTCAGTCTGGGCTAGTACAAGCAGCCGCACATACACATGCATGCACGTCGTCATATCAGCGAAATATTCTCAAGTACGACGTAAAACCCAATTTCACCTCACCTCACCTAACACTAGTAACAGGCACCTTTGGTTATCCGGCGTAATAATTATCAGATTGTGCGTTTTGAGCAGGATATCTAGCCTGGAAAAGGCGCGTTATAAATATTCTCATTATTATTAATATTTACAGTGTGTACCAATGTTTATCATTACTTGTCATTTTTTACCTTGTTTATCATTATTTGACAATATTTACCATGTTTACCAGTGTTTTTCAATATTTGTAAATATTTACCGTGTTTAGCAATGTTAATCAATGTTTACTAAAACTTGTCAAGGCAGACTTTAAGCTGAAATGTTACTGTCTGCACTTAAGGCCACATTCATCCATTATCTGGGGCGGTGGGGTAGCCTAATGGTTAAAGCGTTGGCTCATCAGCCGAAGACCCGGGTTCGAATCCCCACATGGGTACAATGTGTGAAGCCCATTTCTGATGTCACCAACCATGATGTTGTTGGAATATTGCTAAAAGCAGCGTAAAACTCAGTCAGTCAGTCAGTCAGTCATCCATTATCTTGATGCATGCTTGTCCCAGGGGACGACTAACGGGTTATGGAGGTCAGGCTCGCTGACTTAGTTCATTCATGTCATCATGTCCAATTTGTGGACTAGAATAGATTGATAATAAAGATGTCAATCACTGGCTTGTCTGGTCCAGATTCGATTATTTACAGACCACCGTCATTTAGCTAAAACATTGCTGAGTGTGGTGTAAAACAACAAACATTATGTACATTGCTGTTGTAGTCTAGTTTCTAAGGGTGTAACGATGCATCGAACTATCGATTGATCGCGATTGTGAGCCCCCCGATAGTACTTTATCGATAGGTGTATGATATGACGATCCAATGCATTGATAGTTGCATCAACTATCCATGCTATCGCTTTAATTTGTTTTATAAATAACGGTAACTTGAAAACATGTTCTGTCCTACAGTCCTACCCACGATTGGGATTAATATCTATTTGTTGTATTAAGCGACAGCATTTTGCAGTGATATAAGGGGCGTAGAGTTACCCAATCCCCTCGCATTTTTGCAGTGATATAAGGGGCATGTAGAGTTACCCAATCCCCTCAATCCCCAATGCACAGTATTTTGCAGTGATATAAGGGGCATGTAGAGTTACACAACCCCTCGCAGTATTTCAGTACTTTGCAGTGATATAAGGGGCATGTAGAGTTACACAATCCTCCAACCCCTCACGACAGTATTTCTCAGTGATATAAGGGGCATGTAGAGTTTCACAACCCCATCGTGATATAAGGGGCATGACAGTATTTCTCAGTGATATAAGGGGCATGTAGAGTTACACAACCCCATCGCGACAGTATTTCTCAGTGATATAAGGGCGACAGTGTAGTGTTACACACAACCCCCTCATGACAGTATTTCTCAGTGATATAAAGGATGTACGAGTCACAACCTCCAGTGATATAAGCCAATGTAGAGTTTCACAGCATATTTCAGTATTTCTCAGATTCTGACTTGCCCATGTTGTATGAGACTGTTAAAACTGAGGTCAGGAATGACCTTTCCAGTGCTGAGAATGTTTCACTCACAACTGATGGATGGACTAGCAGACTCTTAAAACTGCACATGTGGACAGACTCTTGTTTCTAAAGAAGAATTGGAAAGTTGGAAACCAAGATGAAAAATGAACTATTATCTGCCTTCATCACACTATTTGAGTAAAATCAGAGTTAATGTGAAATATTGCCATTTGCTAAATATGTTAACCTATCTTTCAACTTGAGTCACCAAGTTATCTGCTGACAGGTTTATTTGTGATATTTCTTGATACTTTCATAGTGACAAAAGATTATTGTCTTCTTCAAATTAGTTGAGTCTGTTGACTGTTCAGTGCATTGGATATATTGTTTCATCTTCATGTTGTTAAAACTAAAACATATCTACCTATCAACTGTTTAATTTTCAACCTTTACACACAGTAAGTGTTTTCTACTGAAACAGAAAGGTGACCATTTGTCAAAAATGTGACAGAGCCAGTATTTATTCTTTATTTTGTATGTTGTTTTACATACAAAGTTGCGAGGATCAAAGAGTCTGCAAACCACAGTTTTGTAATAAATAGTATTGAATCCTGTGTGAATGTGGTGGCTTGTTGTGGAATGTTTTAATACTAAGTCATGTTCGTGAAGAAGTCATCATGACAACTTGACCAATTCTGACCTGAAAGTTATAAAGAATAAACAACTGAATACATTTGATGGTTTAAGTAGTTTAATGTAGAAGAAGTTGGTAGAAAATGGCAATTTATCTGACATTTGAATTTTGTCTGGACTGTCGCAATAGTTATCGCAATAGTAGCATGCAAAAGTCTTATCAACATCGCAATAGTAGCTTGCAATAGACTATCAACATCGCAATAGTAGCTTGCAATAGACTATCAACATCGCAATAGTAGCATGCAAAAGTCTATCAACATCGCAATAGTAGCATGCAATAGACTATCAACATCGCAATAGTAGCATGCAAAAGTCTATCAACATCGCAATAGTAGCTTGCAATAGACTATCAACATCGCAATAGTAGCATGCAAAAGTCTTATCAACATCGCAATAGTAGCTTGCAATAGACTATCAACATCGCAATAGTAGCATGCAATAGACTATCAACATCGCAATAGTAGCTTGCAATAGACTATCAACATCGCAATAGTAGCTTGCAATAGACTATCAACATCGCAATAGTAGCTTGCAATAGACTATCAACATCGCAATAGTAGCATGCAATAGTCTATCGACATCACAATAGTAGCATGCAATAGACTATCAACATCGCAATAGTAGCTTGCAATAGACTATCAACATCGCAATAGTAGCATGCAATAGACTATCAACATCGCAATAGTAGCATGCAAAAGTCTATCAACATCGCAATAGTAGCTTGCAATAGACTATCGACATCGGAATAGTAGCATGCAAAAGACTATCAACATCGCAATAGTAGCATGCAATAGACTATCGACATCGCAATAGTAGCATGCAATAGACTATCAACATCGCAATAGTAGCATGCAAAAGTCTATCAACATCGCAATAGTAGCATGCAATAGACTATCAACATCGCAATAGTAGCTTGCAATAGACTATCGACATCGGAATAGTAGCATGCAAAAGACTATCAACATCGCAATAGTAGCATGCAATAGACTATCGACATCGCAATAGTAGCATGCAATAGACTATCAACATCGCAATAGTAGCATGCAAAAGTCTATCAACATCGCAATAGTAGCATGCAATAGTATCATCGCAATAGACTATCAACATCGCAATAGTAGCATGCAATAGACTATCAACATCGCAATAGTAGCATGCAAAAGTCTATCAACATCGCAATAGTAGCTTGCAATAGACTATCAACATCGCAATAGTAGCATGCAATAGACTGTCGACATCACAGTAGTAGCATGCAATAGACTATCAACATCGCAATAGTAGCATGCAAAAGTCTATCAACATCGCAATAGTAGCTTGCAATAGACTATCAACATCGCAATAGTAGCATGCAATAGACTATCTACATCGGAATAGTAGCTTGCAATAGACTATCGACATCGCAATAGTAGCATGCAAAAGTCTATCAACATCGCAATAGTAGCTTGCAATAGACTATCAACATCGCAATAGTAGCATGCAATAGTCTATCAACATCGCAATAGTAGCTTGCAATAGACTATCGACATCGCAATAGTAGCATGCAAAAGTCTATCAACATCGCAATAGTAGCTTGCAATAGACTATCAACATCGCAATAGTAGCATGCAATAGACTATCTACATCGCAATAGTAGCATGCAATAGACTATCGACATCGCAATAGTAGCATGCAATAGACTATCAACATCGCAATAGTAGCATGCAATAGACTATCAACATCGCAATAGTAGCATGCAATAGACTATCGACATCGCAATAGTAGCATGCAATAGACTATCGACATCACAATAGTAGCATGTCTATCAACATCGCAATAGTAGCATGCAATAGACTATCGACATCGCAATAGTAGCATGCAATAGACTATCGACATCGCAATAGTAGCATGCAATAGACTATCGACATCGCAATAGTAGCATGCAATAGACTATCGACATCACAATAGTAGCATGCAATAGACTATCGACATCGGAATAGTAGCTTGCAATAGACTATCGACATCACAATAGTAGCATGCAATAGACTATCGACATCGCAATAGTAGCATGCAATAGACTATCAACATCGCAATAGTAGCATGCAATAGACTATCAACATCGCAATAGTAGCATGCAATAGACTATCAACATCGCAATAGTATCTTGCAATAGACTATCGACATCACAATAGTAGCATGCAATAGACTATCAACATCGCAATAGTAGCTTGCAATAGACTATCAACATCGCAATAGTAGCATGCAATAGACTATCGACATCGCAATAGTAGCATGCAATAGACTATCAACATCGCAATAGTAGCATGCAAAAGTCTATCAACATCGCAATAGTAGCATGCAAAAGTCTATCAACATCGCAATAGTAGCATGCAATAGACTATCGACATCACAGTAGTAGCATGCAATAGACTATCGACATCACAATAGTAGCTTGCAATAGACTATCGACATCGCAATAGTAGCTTGCAATAGATTATCAACATCGCAATAGCTTGCAATGGACTATCGACATCACAATAGTAGCTTGCAATTGACTATCGACATCGCAATAGTTCTTTAGACCTCAATAGTCACCCCTACAAGTTTCTAATCGGCCTTCAAGTTGTTATGTTTGTTCATGTTGTTAGAGGGACAGTAGGGTAGCCTTGTGGTTAAAGTGTTGGCTTGTCACGCCGAAGACCCAGGTTTGATTCCCTACATGGGTACAATGGGTAAAGCCCATTTCTGGCGTCCCCGCTGTGATATTGCTGGAATATTGCTAAAAGCAGCATAAACCCAACTCACTCAGTCATGTTGTTAGACATTTTCTATCAGACATATTTATAACAGGACACTGGAACTATCCTTCAGGAATTACAAATTTGAGTCAAAATGCTGGAAAGTGGGAGACTGGACATTGTTTTAAAGACTTGTTGTGAAACATTCAAGCCATGATATTTTAGAGAGTTCCCCTGATGCTACCTCCTAACTAAGGTGTCAGGTGTCAGGTGTCATTAGATCTACCGGTAATATGCAATTTTAATCAAATTATTTAAAGGCACAGTGTCACACATATTCAACAATATCTAGGCCTATATTATATATATTAGGGCATATGCACTCACTTTATCTTCCTATTGATGCAATAAAAGACTTGTTATTGTTATTCTTGACGACTTGCCTGAAATTGATAACTGAACCTTCGAGGCAGACAGCTTCCAAACAGAGAACACTTGCCATATATGGAATGTAAACAATTGCTCCGTACATCGAAAACTGTCGCACGCGCAGAGTGTTGTTGATGTTTGCGAACTAATTTTAATCACAAGTTGAACGTAGGATATTTGTAAAGACTGCTCCAGGGGACATAACTCTATTCGCTTGAAATAATGTTTGGCCAGTAGTGGGCGCGAGAGTCGATTTAATGCAGCGTTGCATTAATTCATTCGAACTTTCAAATTTAATCTTGTTATCTAAATACGTAATTTTGTTTGGAATACATTTTATGCTACCTTCCCTGAGGAGGGCTGATAGTTGGTATTATTGAGAGAAGTGCATTATTATTTTTTCAGAGAAGTGTGTTGTGACATTGTGCCTTTAACTAAACAAATTATCCTTAGAAACTGATCATTTTTCCCAAAAGGGCTGTGGCAGTTAAGAGATTACTGGGAGCAATTGACATTTCACCAGTTCCTTTTTCATGGTAACAAAATGTGTATATTTACAGGGTCACCATACTGTCATCGTGCAGCAAGCTCCCCAGAAGACCGTGGTGCAGAAACCCTCTGTAAGTTGATTCCCCCAATCTGTGCGTGGCCTCTCAAATGTTACGTTTGGCGACTTTCATTAATGAAGAGGTTGCTGAGATCTGCCACAGGTCTAAACTTTGATGTAATGATTTCAAGTATCTATCCATTTTCTATCTCACTGGCTAGCTATTCTCGAAATGTTCGTAGCCCTACGAACTTCCTAAGCCCATTCTTAACACACTGGCTACGATCAAAGTTAAGAATTCTTAGGGCTACGAACGTTTCGAGAATAAGGGACCTGGTCTTCAGAACTTGACTTTATGTCTTTTATGAGGTCAAGATGTTGTTTGAGAGAGGACTGTTAGGGTCTTTCATGAGGTCAAGATATATGACTGTCGTATTGTTTGAGAGAGGCCTGTTCAGGTTAAGATGTGTAACTGTTGTATTGTTTCAGAGAGGCCTTTTCGGGTCGTTCATGAAGGAGGTCGACCTCTTGGCCAAACAGGCGGGACGGGAGATTGACTACTGTACTGGCAAGGTCAACCAAGCAGTGGACCAGACATCAAGTAATCCTGTGCTGGTAAGAGTTGCTATGGAAAGAAATCAAGGGTTAACTAATGTCATTACTTCTGACCCGAGAGTGAGTGAGTGAGTGAGTTTTATGCCACTTTTAGCAATATATCAGTCCTTCCTGGATTCCGCGACAAATTTTAAGAATTCCACAGCAAATTTAAATAAATCCTGCATCCCATTTTTCAAAATTCTGCAAAAAATTCTGCAGTTAAAGACTTGAAAACACACACAAACTAATGCAATTTCATCTTCAGAAAGAATGATTTTGTGGACATGATTGCAGTGTCAGATTCAAATAATATTATTGTAAGGTGCTGACGAAAAAATTACCTTATGAATAATTAATGTTTATTCGTGAATATTTTGAAATTATCGTTATAATAAATGTCTCAGTTCGTTTTTGTGTAACCAATCATACTTTTGACATTTACCCCTACTTTTCGTTTCAATTGATAGTAAAAAGAAAAATTCCGTGGCAGAAAAATGGCAAATTCTGCAGGTATTCTGCATGAAAATGCTTTTTCCGTGGACCATACTTTTTATTTATTCTTTATTCTGCAATCGCGGAATCCAGGAAGGACTGATATATATATCAAGACTGGGGGACACCAGAAATGGACGTCACACGTTGAAGCCATTTGGGAAGTCAAACCCGGGTATTCCGTATGACAAGCAACACTTTAACCGTCCCACTACTGACCTGATCTGTTTTAGTATGCGTATGTCATGGGTCATTTTAAAGACTGTAACCTGGAAATGGAAAAACAATAATTGCCTTTTGAATTATAGTTAAATCACGCAGAGCCAATACAAAGCCATGGTTGTTGCTGGGTTTCACTGAGACAGTTAGGCGGTGGGGTAGCCTAGTGGTTAAAGTGTTTGCTTGTCACATCCGAAGACCTGGGTTCGATTCCCCATATGGGTACAATACGCCCATATCTGGTGTCCACCAGTCGTGATATTATGATATTGCAGGACTATTGTGACTACTGAGACAGTGACCTGTGTTTGCTGGAGGTTGTTTGTTGCTTAATGTCGCTGACAACTATAGTCCGTTTGGCTCAAAAGCAGACCGATGAATTTCAATCTAGCTCGAAAACTAATAAACATAACATACTCAATGAAACACTGATCATAATCAAAACATCATACCAACTCTGTGAGGTTTTTTCAGAATTTTTGTCCTAAAAATAATAAAGTTGTTTAACAAACTATCATTAAAATATTGACACAGTTCACTGTTTGTTACGAGGGAGGAGTGCAGAGAATGGGACAGCCAGGTGTTCGAGAAGCAAGTTCACAGACAAAGTTATTTATTCATTAACCTGTGCTGTGCCGTCTCCATCCGTCTATACATAGTGGGGCGGTGGGGTAGCCTAGTGGTCAAAGTGAACGCTTGTCATGTCGAAGACCGGGGTTCGATTCCCCACATGGGTACAATGTGTGAAACCCATTTCTGGTGTCCCTCGCTGTGATATTGCTGGAATATTGCTAAAAGTGGCGTGAAAAAAACCTCACTCACTCAGGTACATAGTAGCATTCTGTAAACATCGTAAATATAATCAAGTCCGGACCAGACAATCCAATGATCAACAGCATGAGCATCACTCTACACAACTGATAAACAATGACATAATGATTCGATGATAAGTCAGTGGTACCTGACCACCGGATCCCGTTAGTCGCCTCTTTACAATAAGCATCAATTCTAACCCGGATCTTCACGTTTCCCTTACAATTCTATATCTTGTCAGAAATGTAACCTATTCCTGAAAACGAAGGAAAATTTTATCTTGAGTTTTCTGACGCATTCCAAGCTGTGTATTAGTGGTGGTCCAATTGATTGAAATAATCGAAGATTGGTTGTAATGACTAAACGACCAAGCAATCGATCACATTTTGTCATAATCGAACACAAACAATTTTGGAACACTTGTTTGCATTGACAATATTTATCACAAGGTTGGTTTTGTTTATTGCGTTTCATAAGCACTACAAGCTTGTTCCAAGTCATGATTAAAATTTATCTTGAAGACTCCAGGAAATTTATATTCCTAACATATTAGTCATCCTTTAAAGACATGTTTTTTTCTTTATTTTGTGTTCATTAACAAACATAACCAGGACAATTTGATAAATGACGCAAACCCACTATTTTCGATGATTGATCGGTTGTAATGAACCAGTCATCAATTATAAGATTTTAACCAATTCCCAACACTACTGTGTATCATAGGCTTTGTTGCCATGTGAGTGATTTAAATCTTTCAGTAAAATGTCAAATTGAAATGAGAATTTGAGAAAGAGTATTCTCATCATGCTAACCTTATGTTCTCACAGGAATATGTATTGACATGCTTAATGTTTCTTTTATTTCTATTGGTGACAGAAGACTTTGAGAAAAAGAATTCCGTAAACCTAATTCTTACTTTAAGTGGGTCGTTAATATTGGTTGTTGTAGAACTACTTCCAGACTGGAAACGTGGTACAGTTGATATCGCGGGGGAGCGGCAAAAGTCTGCAGATAGTGGCGACCCCTGGTGGTCAGCTGGTAGTGGACGGATGCGGCCCGACTGACCACCAACAACACAGTGAGTCACAGAGTTACCGCTTCAAGAACGTACCAGGAATTGGTTGAACTATTTATAGTATACTAATAGGGATACAACAGGGCTCCAGATAATTTTTCAGGATCAGGAGTACGTACTCCTTGTTTATTCAATATAGGAGTACTGGAAAACCTCAAGAGTACATTTAGAGTACTGAATGGAAATTAATGGCATATCAGTAATCTTGTGTTTCGTTTCAGTATGCACCACAACATTGCTACTCTTGTGTAAACAGGTCAATAAACAATAAAACAATACTTTTTCAGATAAATACGTCTGTAAATGACCGTACACCATTGCTGTGGTGCGTATCTGCTACGCTTTCTAAATTATTTCCTACCGTATCGTGCATATTTTTTATCTGTACATACGCCGATACGGCCCTTATCTGGAGCCCTGTACAAAATATGATTAACTGTCATTATATATCGGAACAAGGTGATTGAGTATGTGGCTGAGTGAGTGGATGAGTGTCTGGGTGGGTGAGTGTGTGATTGAGTGTGAGTAAGTGGTTTGATGGGTGTGTAGTGAGTGGGTGGTAGTGGTGGGAGTGTGTGTGTGTGGGTAAGTAGGTAGTGAGTGGATGCCTATGTAGTGGATAGATGGGTGGGTGTGTGAATGGGGGGCTATGTGGGTAGGTGAGTGAGTGGATGGATGGGTGTGTGGATGGGGGGCTATGTAGGTGGGTGAGTGAGTGAGTGGATGGATGGGTGTGTGGATGGGGGGCTATGAAGGTGGGTGGATGTATGGGTGTGTGGATGGGGGTCTATGTGGGTGGGTGGGTGAGTGAATGGATGGGTGGATGGAGGGCTATGTTGGTGGGTGAGTGAGTGGATGGGGGCTATGTGGGTGGGTGAGTGAATGGATATATGGGTGTGTGGATGGGGGGCTATGTTGGTGTGTGGATGGATGGATGGATGGGGGGCTATGTGGGTTGGTGAGTGAGTGGATGGGTGTGTATGTAGGTAGGTAGGTAGGTAGTGAGTGGATGTCTAAGTGGATGGGTGAGTGAGTGTGTGGACGGGGGTGGGTGAGTGAGTGGATGCGTGGGTGAGTGAGTGAGTGGAGGGGAGGGTATGTGGTTGGGTGAGTGAGGAAGAAATGAAGTGAGTGAGTTTTCCCGCCACTTTAGCAATATTCCATGGGACACAGGAATTGGGCTTTACACATTGTACCCAAAAGGTGATTCGAACCCAAGTCTTCAGTGTGACAAACTCTTTAAGCAAACACTTTAACCACTAGGCTAGACCATCACTTCCCCCGCACCACCCCACCACCCCAGTAATCAGTGGGGCTAGTTACGTCTCACCAGGTAATGTCGTTGTGTCTTCAGCACTGTGGACTGTCGTCAATGAAGGAAGTAACCAAGTGCGTCTCCACAACAACAACAACTACTTGACCATCGTCAACAACAACACAACTCTCGTCACCATGGTAACCCTTTTAGTTATGACAGATTTTATTCATACATATTTTCGTATCATCCACATTAGTATCTATTTTTATACCTATTTTCACATGATAAGTGGTAATGGACCAGTTATAAAGTTTGATGTTGGATAAAATCCTCACTCTTTATGTTTAGGGATAGGGGTTAAGAGCCCCATCTGACAGAATCAGGGTGCCGTTCCACTAACCGATCTTAGCCCTACGCCAATCGTAAACCCCTAAAATCCCAACCTTAGCGTGACTTTACGATCGGCATACCGTTCCACTAACCAATCTTACCCATGTCAATCGTAAAGTTAAGATCCAAAGTCTAAGTTGCTCGTGACCAACTTAGGATCGCTAAAATCAATCGTAGAGAAACCAAAATTCTGGCTTTCCTATTCTATGTGAAAAATAAGAGCGAGCATTTCACCGTGAGCGTCCCCAACAACCCCCCATGAAATGAATTTGTATATTTCTGTGATGTAAACAAACACTGCTCTGAAGCCTTACAAATGTCAGGCCAGTCTGACCACTGTCGTCATGGGAACACAGCCTAGGGAGTCGGTGTAATACATTTGTACAACAATATTGCAACGTCATGGTTAAGAATAGGGACAGGTTATGAAGTGAACAATGTTCTGAAACAAAAAGATACAAATTTGTTTGATTTCATGTGTGCTTATTTGGTGGGGGATTCTAAAGGCAGGCCACATGTTTTTGAAGTTAATGTCAGATAAGCTATCCCCAGATAGCAAAGAATGGTACCCATTCACTGCTAGGTGAACAGTCACATGACCATCTCTTCCCACTGGGTACCCATTCACTGTTAGGTGAACAGTCACATGACCATCTCTTCCCACCGGGTACCCATTCACTGTTGGGTGAACAGTCACATGACCAGCTCTTCCCACCGGATACCCATTCACTGTTAGGTGAACAGTCACATGACCATCTCTTCCCACTGGGTACCCATTCACTGTTAGTTGAACAGTCACATAACCATCTCTTCCCACTGGGTACCCGTTCATTGCTCCGTGATCAGTCACATGACCATCTCAACCCAACGGATACCCATTCACTGTTAGGTGAACAGTCACATGACCATCTCTTCCCACCGGGTACCCATTCACTATTAGATGAACACTCACATGACCATCTCTTCCTATCAAGTACCCATTCACTGTTAGGTGAACAGTCACTTGACCATCTCTTCCCACCGGGTACCCATTCACTGCTAGGTGAACAGTCACATGACCATCTCTTCCCACCGGGTACCCATTCACTGCTAGGTGATCAGTCACATGACCATCTCTTCCCACCGGGTACCCATTCACTATTAGATGAACAGTCACATGACCATCTCTTCCTATCAAGTACCCATTTACTGCTAGGTGAACAGTCACATCACCATCTCTTCCCACCGGGTACCCATTCACTGCTAGGTGAACAGTTACATGACCATCTCTTCCCACTGGATACCAATTCACTGCTAGGTGAACAGTCACATGACCATCTCTTCCCACTGGGTACCCATTCACTGTTAGGTGATCAGTCACATGACCATCTCTTCCCACCGGGTATCCATTCATTTGCTAGGTGAACAGTCACATGACATCTCTTCCTATCAAGTACCCATTCACTGCTAGGTGAACAGTCACATGACCATCTCTTCCCACTGGGTACCCATTCACTGCTAGGTGATCAGTCACATGACCATCTCTTTCTACTTGATACCTATTCACTATTAGATGAACAGTCACATGACCATCTCTTCCTATCAAGAACCCATTCACTGTTAGGTGAACAGTCACTTGACCATCTCTTCCCACCGGGTACCCATTCACTGCTAGGTGATCAGTCACATGACCATCTCTTCCCACCGGGTACCGATTCACTATTAGGTGAACAGTCACATAACCATCTCTTCCCACTGGGTACCCGTTCATTGCTAGGTGATCAGTCACATGACCATCTCAACCCAACGGATACCCATTCACTGTTAGGTGAACAGTCACTTGACCATCTCTTCCCACCGGGTACCCATTCACTGCTAGGTGATCAGTCACATGACCATCTCTTCCCACGGGGTACCCATTCACTATTAGATGAACAGTCACATGACCATCTCTTCCTATCAAGTACCCATTTACTGCTAGGTGAACAGTCACATCACCATCTCTTCCCACTGGGTACCCATTCACTGCTAGGTGAACAGTCACATGACCATCTCTTCCCACTGGGTACCCATTCACTGCTAGGTGAACAGTCACATGACCATCTCTTCCCACTGGATACCAATTCACTGCTAGGTGAACAGTCACATGACCATCTCTTCCCACTGGGTACCCATTCACTGCTAGGTGAACAGTCACATGACATCTCTTCCTATCAAGTACCCATTCACTGCTAGGTGAACAGTCACATGACCATCTCTTCCCACTGGGTACCCATTCACTGCTAGGTGATCAGTCACATGACCATCTCTTTCTACTTGATACCTATTCACTGTTAGGTGAACAGTCACATGACCATCTCTTCCCACTGGGTACCCATTCACTGCTAGGTGATCAGTCACATGACCATCTCATCCTACCATTGTATCCATTCACTGCTGGGTGACCAGTAACATAACATATCTTCACACCGGGTACCCATTTACTGTGAGGTGAACACTCACATGACTATCTTTTCCAATCGAGTACCCATTCACTGCAAGGTGAACAGTCACATGACCATCTCATCCTATTGTTGACTATTGCAGCCCCCAGGAAGTGTACATGGAGTGGAGACAAAACTCCAGCTGGGCGTCGTCTTCTCTCAGTACATCATCCTACAGTCTGTGAAGGACCCACTGTGTAGTGTGGGAGTACTCCCAACAGGGCAGGTCAAGGATGCCAGAGCTACTGGTAGAGACAGCAGTGCACAGTTTGGAGTTCGACTTGTCGTAAGTACTGTATCTCTGTATATTGGACTTGAAGGCTTATTTTCTTACGCATTTTCCTTTTGGAGATGAACATGTTTTTGTCCCCAACCGCAACAAACAACGGGGGACTAAGTATTCATCAGTGTGTCCGTACGTATGTACATACATCCTGTTCCTTGTTAACACGATATCTCATGAACTGTTGTATCCAATGTCTTCAATTTTGATGACAGCCTACGCCTGGGGATTACAGAGATGCCAACCACTCCGATTTTGGCAGAGTTACTCTGATTTTCAATACAAAATCGGTTCTCCGATTTCTCTTTAAAAAACTCTAGTCATGACTCCGTTTTCCTTAGATTCAGGTTTAGCATCTCTGGGATTATGCAGACTCCAGTCGATTTGGGTGACCTTGACCATATTTTCAAGGTCACCTGGACACTTTGACCACTTTTCAAACTCTTGTTAAGTAATATTTGAGTGTACTTCCACCATGCATCATATCATTGTGTCCTGAACATTTTCCTACCAGTCTGAATTGGTGAAGTGAAAGCCCAGTGATTAACTTGTTTGATGGTCATGGTCAGTTTAACTTTGAAGTTCCGGGTTACACTTGATCGTCAGCAACCTACATACAACAGAAGTTCCCTAAATGATGGGTGGAGGGTGCGACATGAGACATGCATGCGGTGTCCAGATTCACATGCTGATCTGCAACCACGACAGTACGCCAAAAACATACTCCACCCGTGAAGATCCGGGTTAGAGTTGATCTTCAGCAACCCATGCTTGTCGGAAGAGGCAACTAACGGGATCGGGTGGTCTGGCTATCTGAAATGGTTGGCGCATGTCATTGTATCCCAATTGTGTAGATTGATGCTCATGCTGTTGATCACTGGATTGTCTGGTCTAGATTGAAGTATTTACAGACCGCTGGAACATTACTGAGTGCAGCATTAAACAACAAACAAACACAAATAATTGCCAGGTCTGGGTTTGTGTCTCTGATTGGGTAGAGTGCATGAAGCCTCTTTGTAGTTCCCCCTGCTTTAATCTTGCTGGACTGACGGTGGGGTAGCCTAGTGGTTAAAGTGTTCACTTGTCACGCCGAAGACCCAGGTTCGATTCCCCACATGGGTAAAATCTGTGAAGCCCATTTCTGATGTCCCCTGTCATGATATTGCTGGAATTTTGCTTAAAGCAGCATAAAACTAAACTCACTCACTCACTCAAAAGAAGATTGCTGAAAGCAACATGAATCGAACTCCACTTGACCCCTTGACCACTGTCTCACACTCACTCTAGTGGTAGGAATCAGAAACCAAATCCACTATCGATTAGCGGAGGACTTGTGGTGAATGATTATCAATTATAATCGAAATATATACATTTTTAATGTAATCACCAATTTAAGGGGTTTTCCCCAGTTGTTTTCTAATTAATGTTTTTTGTAACTAATACTGTCATGCAATGAAATGCACGCATGCAAGAAAGACACTGGAACTGTAATTAAACAATAAAAGTGGTTAAAATTTTACAATGTGCATAGCTTTACGCTGTTGAGCGCATGTTTGTTCGTGAATAGTCGTCAAATTTAATGGTTAGTTTACTTCATTCAAGTGTGTTATGCTAAAACAACAAAATTGTGTTTTTCAATCGATAATTATTTTTTATCCTTCTTTCGATTGATTTTTTATTATTTTCGATCATCGGAACACCACTAACTCACTCCACTTATATATATGACCTCTCTTTCTGTTTCAGTATACTCCATACGGGCAACAAGTGACAACAGTCAAGAAGTAGTTATCTCCCTTTGGAGAAGAGTTATCTCCCATGTCCAACACTATGGTACAGAAGTTAGAGGCTTTGAACCAGGAATACTCCAGAATATTGACTGTAGAATATCTTGTATAATGAGATATCTTTCTGAAATAAGAAATCATTCTTATGTGATATTGACAATCGGTGTATAGGTTTTTTTGCAAAACAGTTTTAGCTGATAACATTTGCATATGTGCTACATCTTTTCAAAGATGTCGGATTTTGTGCAATCATATTGACCTATAACTCTATATTTCAGGGGTGAAATCTTGCATCTTCTGTTAAATGAGGTTATTAAATTTGACAATGAGAAAAATGAAATATTTGAATATTCATGAAACGAAGAATATTCTTTTGGTGATGTTTGCAAGGCAATCATGTACCTCTTCCGTGGGCTGTTTTCTTCTGGAAAAAATATATAATATACAGAAAAGATTACAGGACCTTTGTGTTATCTTGGCCAGATATTTCATAGTTTGTACTGGTGCTTACAAAGATTGCAAACAGATAGGTTAGACATTAAGGGGGTCTGGTTGTCCTGTCACTGGTGATTCTAGGGATGTCCCAAATGTTTTAATTTAGGGCTATGACAAGGATGCCTCGACTTTCATGCTTATTTTCCAACTCTGACCCAGTTTGTCGTGTTCCAGATCTGATGAATGTTTTAGCCAATAGGGCAGTTGGGTAGCCTAGAGGATGAAGCGTTCGCTTGTCACACCAAATACCCGGGTTCGATTCTTCATGGGTACAACATGTGAAACCCATTTCTGGTGTCCCCTGCCTTATGTTGCTGGATGTTTCTAAATTCACTCACTCTTAGCCAAGAGCAAATATCCTGAAGTACACACATGAGGCATATCTGTTGTCTTGTATCTTTCTCTGTACGTCAGAATTTTGAGTAACCATCCTTCTGAGTTTACTGTTGTTTTGGACTTCACAGTTAAGAAAATAATTCTTGTTCTGTACATATGATTGTACGCACATCGGATTGTTATACTGTTGAATTTGAAAAGTTGATATTAATCATTATTATGCTAACCTTTTGTGCTTCTAGGACAGGTATGTTCAAATTTTATTGGATTTATTGTTAAATTTTTTTAAAAAGATTTCTGTTAGAACAGAAAAACTAGAGGCATTGGTAGTAAAATGTATGTTGTCTTTTTGATGCATTGCATGTATAAAAAGCTTAACCAGTGTCTGAAGCATGATCTGTTATGTTGCTGGCTATTGAATGTTGACAAGCTGATAAATTATTTATGAAAACTATTTGCTGTTCCTGTTTTACACTTTGTCAAGACCAGTGTGTCAGTATGAAAATATTGATATTTTTAGGATTGATAATAATTGCCCCAAAGTACAATAATTTGGAAAATAGAGTAGTATTTGAAATAATATGCCAGTTATAATTTAGGCCAATCAAATTGCTCCATTCAGTTATATTAGCCAATCAGTGCTTGTTTTTTTTGAGTGCTGAGTGCAAACAAAACAGTGATGTGTGCACATTATCCTCTGAAGGGATGTTTATATGAAGTCATTTTATGTTTTAAGAACATTTTTATGTGCACACAGAAATGAAATGTATTTCATTGTTTCAAGTATTATTAGAGAATTTTTTGGCCACAGAAGATCTTTATAGAGACATAAGGACCTACCATTGAATGTTGGGAATAGACTAATGATGTGTCTCTGAATTCATAAAATTGTGATAGAATCAAATAATATTTTTTTGATTGAAAGGGAGCCCAGTGAGATAGGAGATTCAGAACCTGAGGAAATCTAGACTTGCTTCATGTAGAGCTTTAGCATGGCAGGGTGGGCTAGGCAGTAGGGAATATAAAGTGGTTCTGGGACTGTGAGACAGTCTATACAGTAGACGGTCATGGAATATTTCATAATAATTATTGTTAAAAAGTTTGCTTAATTTAGGGCTTTAGCATTACAGAAAGGGCAGAAGGGAAACTCATGTGGTTCCGGGACTGTAAACCAGACCTTGTTCAAAATTGCTGAGATTTTTGTTTGAGACAGGATATTTTTCAGACAGAGCAAGTCAGGAGTAGTACAAGCAGCCACAGCCATAGCCACACCCACAATCACAGACACACCCACACCTTCAACCCCCAACCACAACCACAACCACACCATCAGGCTCAGGCACAGACACACCCACACCTTCAACCCCCAACCACACCCACACCTTCAACCCCCAACCACAACCACACCATCAGGCTCAGGCACAGACACACCCACACCTTCAACCCACAACCACAACCACACCATCAGGCTCAGGCACAGACACACCCACACCTTCAACCCCCAACCACACCCACACCTTCAACCCCCAACCACACCCACACCTTCAACCCCCAACCACAATCACAGACACACCCACACCTTCAGCCCCCAACCACAACCACAACCACACCATCAGGCTCAGGCACAGACACACCCACACCTTCAACCCCCAACCACACCCACACCTTCAACCCCCAACCACACCTACACCTTCAACCCCAAACCACACCCACAATCACAGACACACCCACACCTTCAACCCCCAACCACACCCACAATCACAGACACACCCACACCTTCAACCCCCAACCACACCCACACCCAAAATCACAGACACACCCACACCTTCAACCCACACCCACACCCACACCCACACCCACACCCACACCCACAATCACAATCACAATCACAGTCACACCCACACCCACACCCACACGTCAGCTGTGAAAGCGCAATTATCTTGGGTGTGGTTAAACCTTATTCCGCAATATATTAGTTTGTTGTTGAAAACATGAATAATCTAATGGTATGTTATAGGGTTAGGTTTAAAGAATTGTTATATTTTTCAGCATGTGTGCTTTGTTTTGTCTGCACTTTTGAAATGTTTTATCTTGTGATTGACCCAGTGCCTTGTATACAGTTCCTGTCTGTGAACATTCAAAAATGGTCAAGTTTACTTTTTTATGTATATGGATATCTTTTGTTTCAAGGAAAATAAACAAATCTTCTAAAATCATGTGTTTTGACTCATGGCATGCTTTGTCATATCATCCAGAGACAGGGTTCTTTATCCCTGCATTTAGGGGGGCTGGAGTAGCCTAGTTGTGTTGGCTCCTCACGCCGAAGACCCGGGTTCGATTCCCAACATGGGTACAATGTGTGAAGCCCATTTCTGGTGTCCCCCACCGTGATATTGCTGGAATATTGCTAACAGCGGGGTAAGGTCATACTGAGTCACTGTCCCTGCATCTACATGACCACATTTAGCTATCTAAATCTCACCTGTCTGTTTTTTAAAGTTTGTTTGTTTTGTTTGTTGTTTAATGCGACCTCGGGCCGCCTCCGTGGTGTAGTGGTTAGAGCGTCCGCCCGGAGAGCGGAAGGTCACGGGTTCGATCCCCGGTTGCGTCATACCAAAAGACGTTAAAATATGGTACTTGTTGGTCACTGTCTGGCACTCGGCATTAATGGGTACAACAAGGACTGGTCGGCTCGGAGTCAGTATAATGTGTCTGAGTGGGGTTTTTATGCTTGGTATTTCGGTGAGCTAGCACTATAAAACCAGCTTCAGTCTGGGCTAGTACAAGCAGCCGCACATACACATACACACGCATGCATGTCGTCATATGAGCGAAATATTCTCAAGCAAGACGTTAAACCCAATTTCACCTCACCTTACCTTAATGCGACCTCGGCAATATGCCATTTGTAATGCGGCAGTCTGTAAATAATTGAATCTGGACCAAATGACCCAGTGATCACCATCATTACCATTTGATCTACGTAACTGGGACACGATGACATGTGCCAAATAAGTCAGCGAGCCTGACCACCCGAACCAGTTCATCCCCTCGACAAGCATGGGTTGCTGAAGATCAATTGTAGCCGGGATCTTCAGGGGTGGAGTATGTTTTTGGCCTACTGTCATGGTTGCAGATAAACATTAATCTGGACATCACATGCATGTCTCATGTCGCACCCTCCATCGTTCAGTTAGGTCATGCTGTTGATCACTGAATTGTCTGGTCCAGATTCAATTATTTACAGACCGCCGCATATAGCTGGAATATTGCTGAGTGCGGGGTTAAACAACCAACCAACCAACCAACCAACCTTCATTTAGGGAACTTCTGTTGTATGTTGTACACATAGCTTCCAACCCTGAGAGAGAAACGTTCTATAGAAGCCGGATCCAAGGACTACAAGCCCCGGCCGTGTCCAGGGTGGAACCTTGGTGGGGTTCAGGGGGATGAAGCTCCCATGAAGCCAACGCATTATTACAAATTCCCTACTCAGAAAAGTCACAGAAAACGGTGTATTCAGATCTGTTTTAGTGATTTTAAGTGTTCAAAATGTGCATGCTAAAGAAAGTACGTACACATATTTTAAAATAGCGGATTTTTATTTAAATTTTTCATATGAACCCAGTTAGGCGTATCATGGTGGTGAGTCTGTGACTTTTGCCGCTCCTCCTCTCCCCCTCCCCAAGTCCTGAAAGTTTATTACTCTACCATTGAAACTCTCGTGAAACTTATGTTTGCACCCCTCTTTCTCAAGAGTGTCCACCCCCTCCCCTTTCTCGTAAAGCCGTATCCGCCCCTGGACCCTGTCGTGATATTGCAGTAATAGTGCGGCCTAAAATCGTACTCATTCAACCAGTGAATTCAGCGAGTCCTACTGATAGAAGCGCTCCTAAAATATTCTCCAAGGGCCGCGTCTGACCAGATGGCTTTGACAGTTGTCACGGGAATAATAGAGGTGCTAGATTCGCCCTCTTGCTGCATTCTAAAAGAGGGGAGAGGAATATATACAGCTTTGTGTATAACAGTAAAATACTTTGAGTATGTATCAAGGAACGACTAACACCATAAATGCAGTATTCTCCTGTTCCAAAGATGTTTAGAAGACTTTTTGTGCTTTTGAACATAGTCTTATTCTTAGCTACACTGAAGGGCGGTGGGGGTAGTATGGGGGGTTAAAGCGTGACGCCGAAGACCCGGGTTCGATTCGCCTTATGGGAGTCATGTGTGAAGTCCATTTCAAGGCGCTGGTATTTTTTCCTTCGATCATTGGATGTCAATCTCAACAGCACATCGTATTATCAATCTCAACTCTCTGGGGATCATAAACCCCTAACAGCCACTAGGCGCATCGAGTTATTGCGGCTTTCCCATACTTATGAGGTACCCATTCACAGCTGGGTGGACTGGGACATATAGTCACAGTACTTCGTCCAAGTTCACTGCTGTACCAGCAACTAGGTGTTTGCACGTATTCATGTGGTCACCATCTGGTCATATACCAACAGATTCTCGGGTCTTTGTAAGTGCACAGGGTTGTGTACTGTACACTAGGGGTTGTGACAACAATGAAAAAGTCTGCACAAAAAGTTGACTCCAAGATTTTTACACCCGGTCACAGGTGGGCTCGATCCCGACACCTCAAGCTCGCTGTATCACTATAGCCTGGCGCCTTAGCCAGTCGCCCACCACACCCCTCATGCATAGTCATTACACGCACAAGTTGGCATAGACGTTGGCAGTCGAGTTAGATGCATTAGAATTAGACAGCTCGCCCACCATGCCCTTATACACCGAGACACCATGACAAAAGTTAATCATATTCGAAGCATCAGACATGCTGTGTGTTTGTGGTTAGTCCCATCTTATATCATCGAATGGTATTGTTGTGTTTCATGATCTTGTGACCCCTGAAGGTCCGGGTTAGAATTGATCTTCAGTAACCCATGCTTGTCGTACGAGGTGACTACCGGGATCGGGTGGTCAGGCTCGCTGGCTTGGTTGACACATGTCATCAGTTCCCAATTGCGCAGATCGATGCTCATGCTGCTGATCACTGGATTGTCTGGTCCAGACTCGATTATTTACAGGCCGCCGCCATATAGCTGGAATATTGCTGAGTGCGGCGTAAAACTAAACTCACTCACTCACTCATGATCTTGTGCCGGAATACACAGAACAATATTTTAAAATGTTTGTGGCTTTTTGCCAAATATTACCAAAATTCAAATTTACGTTTCCAGATTGTTTCAGTATATGTTGGTAAGGATGTTCGGTTTAATCTATACTTCACTTTAAAAGTTTAGACGCACTAGTGTAAAGTATGTCCACTTACTTCGGGCAGCTGTTCTATACTAAATTTTTCAAAATATTTCCTACTGTTTAAAGGTATTGTTTACACATGAACTGATGTATCGTAAAACAAATTCGTAAAACGTTGAAAAGATTATTGTCATGAGTTCAGTAAATGATGAAAATCAGTGAAAATTGGCGAATTCTTAACAAAACTTTACACCACAAAACAGCTGTTCACATGCACGATATTTGCACATGCTTTTCAGCAATTTGATGCATGATCCTCGTACAATTCATCTGCATAAAGTTTGCAGTTGGTTCTCCAAAGTTAGTGGAGAAATCAATCTTCGATGTAACAGTATATACATGTATATACATAACATATAGTGAGTGTTTTAAGTCAGTCTAAACTTTTGAAGAGAAGTATATTTAGCGATGTGTTATAATCAATGATAAAACACACGGTCCAGTAATGTGTAATGTAATGACGATAGTGCGTTGGAAAAAGGTTCTGGTGATTGTGTCATGGACACCGAGGCAAACTTCAAGGTATACCTGCTCCTATACCGGAGTAGTGAGTGAGTGAATTATTTTTACGCCGCCTTTTGTACTACACCAGCAACATCACGGCGGGGGACACTTGAAATGGGTTTCACACATTGTACCCATGTGGGGAATCGAACCCGGGTCTTCGGCGGGACGAGCGAGCGCTTTAACCACTGGGCTACCCCAACGCCCTATACCGGAGGATCAAATACAAGATGAAGTGCGTCATTTACAAAATGACTAAGCAGTTATAGGCAATGCTATAATTTGAATGTTAAAATTCCATTAAAATCTGACAATAGCTTTCATAAAGACATTATTTGATAGAATAACCAGTTTGATGTCTTCCTGATGTTTAAGTGAGTGAGTGAGTATGGTTTTACGTCGCTTTCTGTTCTACGCCTTCAATATCAAGGGGAACACCAGAATTGAGGTTTGCACTTTGTACCCATGTGGGGAATCAACCCCGGGTATTCGGTGTGACGAGTGAACGCTTTAAACACTTGGCTCCCTACTGCTACCAGATGGCCGTGTGAACTGCATCAGAAGTTCAGTTGCTGATTGTGAACCTCGTGTACTGTTGTAACATTGGCCGCTGGCCCTGTCTCAGTCCGCTGACAGAGATGTCAGTACACTCACGTTCACGTCAAACATTTAACATCACAGTACAATAGGCTGGGTCACACAAACAGGCCGTTACCTAGAACAGGGCGCTGTTCTGAATGCAGCCTCGACACCAAGAGTGAGTGAGTGAGTGAGTGAGAGAGAGAGTGTGGGTGAGTGAGTGAGTGAGTGAGTGAGTGAGAGTGAGTGAGTGAGTGAGTGAGGTTTTACTGCGCTTTTAGCAATTTTCCAGCAATACCACTGCGGGGGGACACCAGAAATGGGTTTCACATATTGTACCGGTGTTGGGAATCGAACACAGGTCTTCTGCGTGACGAGCCAGCGCTTTAACCACTAGGCCACCCCACCGCCTCTGACACCAAGATCTGACTCAATATATTCGGGCTCACATTCAGCGCATCGTCCCTACTGTATTCCACCACGACAGAACAGTACGTGACCCGAGAAATATGTAGATTTAATGGAATAACGGTGTCAAGGCCTACAGCTAAAGGAGTATTTATTATTCCTGGGTTAAGAGAGGCTGGAATTTTTGTGAGAGACGCTACATATAATTACGTACCAGCTACAAAACTGACAGTTTTTGCATATGAATGAGTTTAGTTTTATCCCAACAATATCGCGGCGGGGGACACCAGAAATGAGCTTCACACATTGTACCCATATGGGTAATCGAACCCAGGTCTTCGGCGTGATGAGCGAACGCTTTAACACTAGTCTACTCCACCACCCCGTTTTGTGCATGTAAAAGGGAACAGAACAATTAATTGTTTTTCACAACACATTTATAGGACATCAAGCGAACAATTAATTGTGTTGGACAATCATCTCTGAAATGGCCCAGTTGTATCACCTGGATGCTGGGTAATCCTGGGGCTGTGGGGTAGTCTCGTGGTGAAAGCGTCCGCTCGTAACGTCGAACACCAGGGATCGATTCCGAATATGGGTACAAAGTGCGAAGTCCATTTCTGGTTTCCCCTGCTGTGGCATTGCTCGAATATTGCCAAAAGCGGCGTAAAACTTAACTCACTTGCTCATTTACTCGATCGTTAACAAAGACAGTGATCGTGACTGCTAATGAAATGAATGCGAGGTTTTGAAGCGGGCCGTACTTCTGTACAATTATACATCCGAAATCCAATATGAAAGAGCCTCATTTTTCAAAATGTGATGGAAACCCTTTTTTCAAATTTTATATATCGGTTTGGAGAAGAGCAGTATATAATAGCAGGGAGACTATGTTGTAGATTATCCCTGATAATAGACAGTCGAGCCCCTGTCAACATCAGATTTTCTCCTGTGATATTTACAATGCATAAAAGACGCTGAGCCTGGTTGTCTTCACAACTCTTGGTGTTTACACGGACTCAAAGGACGCCGACAGCGGGTATTACCTTTAACGTGAGTAAGTACTGGTCGCGATTGTGTTGGTTTATATACTTACACAGCTGATCCTCCATAAATCTGACACCCCTCTCACCTGTCAACTCACACAGTCCAAGTGGAGTGTTGGGAACAGAACACTCGCCCACAGCAGAACAGAGCATAGCAGACCAGAACCTTCTCCATCAACGCAACTACCGAAACGCAGATAATACACACCAAGGTACGTGATTTAAACTCAACGTGAAACTCCCAAGCCTACGTGATTTAAAGTCAGTGTTAAACTCCCAAGCCTACGTGATTTAAACTCGACGTTAAATTCCCAAGCATACGTGGTTTAAAGTCACGTTAAACTCTCAAGCATACGTGGTTTAAAGTCACGTTAAACTCTCAAGCATACGTGGTTTAAAGTCGACGTTAAATTCTCAAGCCTACGTGGTTTAAAGTCAACGTTAAACTCTCAAGCGTACGTGGTTTAAAGTCAACGTTAAACTCCCAAACCTACATGAGTAAAAGCCCTCGTTAAATCCCCAAGCTTACGTGAGTAAAAGTCAACATTAACTCTAAGCCTACATGATTTAAAGTGAACGTTACGCTCCCAAATCTACATGATTTAAAGTCAAAGTTAAACTCCCAAGTATACGTGAACATTAAACTCCCAAACCTACACGATTTAAAGTCAAAGTTAAACTTCCAAGACTCGTTAAACTCGTAAGCCTAGGTGAGTTAAAGTCAACGTAAATTTCCTAAGCCTACGTGAGTTAAAGTCAATGTTAAACTCCCAACACTACGTGATTTAAAGCGAGACTTCGCTACGCTCAGGTCAGTTACAGCTCACAAACTCATGTTTCGTTTCAGTTTCTGACATATGTCAAACGCATTTATGTATGCCCTGAATATACGATGACAGGTGCACACTGACAAACACAGCGTGTGGATTTAGGCTTACTTCAGGCATGTTCCTCCTTTTAATGTGGGTTAAATATGCGAGAGGAGCTCTGTAACTGTGGCCTTCGTGTTGCTGAATATTGACAATGCTTTCATGTTAGTTTGTCCCCATTATACTGACGGAAAGAGTAACTATGCTTCAATAAAAGTGGTGTAAACGTTATTCCACTGACAACAACATTATAATATTTGGTCATTCGTCAGTGTTTTAACAAAACAAATTCACGGACAAAACTCATGTCTGGTAACAGGAGTGAGTGAGTGAGTATGATTTTACGCCGCTTTTAGCAATATTCCAGCAATATCACGGCGGGGGACACCAGAAATGGGCTTCACACATTGTACCCATGTGGGGAATCGAACCCGGGTCTTCGGCGTGACGAGCGAACGCTTTAACCACTAGGCTACCCCACCGCCCCTCTGGTAACAGGAGGCAGAGCGAGATGTTTTGTTTGATCGTTTGTTTCCAAGGAGACGCATTAAGGTTGGTTGGTTTGTTGTTTAATGCCGCACTCAAACATATTCCAGCTATATGGCGGCGGTCTGTCAATTATCGAGTCTGGACCACACAATCCAATGATCAACAGCATGAGTATCGATCTACGCAAATGGGATACGATGACATGTGTCAACCAAGTCGGCGAGCCTGACCACCCGATCCCGTTAGTCGCTTCTTACGACAAGCATGGGTTACTGAAGATCAATTCTAACCGGGCATCTCCTGTCGTAGTAGCCTAGTGGGTAAAGCGTTCGCTCGCCACGCCGAAGACCCGGGTTCGATTTCCCACATGTATACAATGTTTGAAGCCCATTTCTTTTGTCCCGCGAAGTGATTGATATTGCTGGAATATTGCTTAAAACGGTGTTAAACCATACTCACTCACTCACTCACTCACTCACTCACTCACTCACTCACTCACTCTTGTTGTACAAAAAGAAGGGAGCAGGGCTGTAACAACTAAGTAGTGGGAGTAACCGCGCTGTTAGCGTTAATTGCGGTGAGGCGTATGATGATTGATAACAGCCCGGGGGGATGTTGTTACAAATGGTGGGGATGTTCCATAGGGGAGATATGTTAACCAACAGCCAGCCGTGGCTTTACACCAATTTTATGCTGCCTCCAAAGGTCCTACTCTCTTCTTCCATGATTTGGGATGTTGCCCACATCATTACACTTCCACCCCACAAACTGTCTGCCCCACAGTCCCTTCTACATTGCGAAAACCATAAAATGAAGCAAATTTTCCCAAGGTTCAGGTTCTCAATCTCCCATATCAGCGGGGATCCTTTTAAATTCAAATGGATGTATTTGTTTCTATCCCAGTTATGTATATTCAGAGACTTAACGGTCGCCTGACCCCGAACAGACGCCGCTGACGTAAGCGAAGCTGAAACGGAGAGTCTGAGTGAGTTTGGTTTTATGCCGCTTTAAGCAATATACGAGCAATATCACGGCGGGGGACAACAGAAATGAGCTTCACACATTGTACCCACATGTGGAATCGAACCCGGGGCTTCGGCGTGACAAACGAACGCTTTAACCACTAGGCTACCCCATGGGCCCTTTCTGCTGGACGAGTGTCGACCCTTGCAGAGCCGTAACATGCCCGTCGGAGCCATGACACATCAACGTCTGAGTCTGGTCTTTTGACCATCAGATGCTGTCCCCACCAACCTTTGCGTGACGTCGACATGGAAGCAAGGTTGGACGCATCGCCGAACGTCGAGGCCGGATGTGGCCGGTTACTTCCGGTTTGGACACTACTTGGTCTCAACTGAGGGATTGTGGGAGCTGTAAATGTAACAGTTTGGTGTCATTGTTGATGCACCAACCGAAGAACTTGTCCTGTTGACGGGATGTTACAGATGGACGTGGCGTAGTTTCTTGCTTCAGATAAAGTTTCCATAGTCATGCCCGTTGGCACCATACCCACGGTACGTTCATTTACAGCAAATCTAGGCATTGCACGAGCGTATGTACTGTTATAAGCAACGGTGTTAGCATCTGATTGTTAAAAGTATGTTGTTAGAGTATCATATCCCAAACAATGACGCTGACACCCACATGCACGTCCATGGTGTTGACAACATTAAAGATGAGCAGACAACATCATGAATATGTATGTCAACATGTCTCATTTACCATCCTAATGAATTTTTGACAGAACTCTATACGGAGCACAGATATTCTGACTGACTGACTGACTGAGTTTGGTTTTGCGCCGCTTTTAGCAATATTCCAGCAACATCACGGCGGGGGACACCAGAAATGGGCTTCACACATTGTACCCATGTGGGGATTCGAACCCGGGTCTTCGGCGTGACGAGCCAACGCTTTAACCATTAGGCTACCCCACCGCCCCACAGATATTCTGTATCCGTTTGTATGCATCCGTTTAACGTGAAACACGTCCAACCTCATTTACCGCCGCGTGATTATGACGTCATGGGTTTCTGAACGCATTAATTATCCAGAGATCCCCAGACAAGAATTAGATGGTCTAAATAACGATAAAAATAAACGAGATTTCAAGAAAATATTTGAAATAAACAGAAAATAAACAACGAGGTATTCGATTGCAAGATAATCCATGCGACAAAATAGGGGTGAAATGGCATGCTCTTACCACGGCACGGTACGGTACGTATTGCGGTACTAGGCCTTCGGTTTGGTCCGTTTCGGTCCGGTATATAAGATATGATCATAATGCAGAAAATTGAGCCAAACTTTAGATAGATTTTGACAAAATGACGTACTTGTTGGTCCCCAAGTAGACACATAAAGGATTAAAAAATTGAGGAGATAAAACGTTAAGTTTTTTTACTTTTTGCTTCCCAAATTGCTTAGGTTTGCCAAACAGAGAATGGGATATAACTGTTAATCTCACTGGTAACTTGGCTTAACTTTGCACATTATTCGTCCTTAACGCCACTGAGCATCTGTGAGGTGAATATTAGGGCCTCTATAAATATAAACATGTGTACTTTAATGTGAAAACGATTAATATCGCGTTACAAACAGATTCATTTATTTCACTCACCCGTGTAAATGCTATGAAACTTTGTCGTAAAGACACGGGAGGCGACATATCTCGCCCCACTGTTCTGAACATCGCCTGCAGTACATATACGTATACCCACACGATTGAAGTATGGTGGCTGATTAGGGCCATCGCGATGGCCCTAATCAGCCACCATATTGAAGTCATTGCGAGTGAGCGAGTGAGTGAGTGAGTGAGTGAGTGAGCCGCACTCAGCAATATTCCAGCTATATGGCGGCGGTCTGTAAATAATCGAGTCTGGACCAGTTAATCCAGTGGTCAACAGCATGAGCATCGATCTACGCAATTGGGAACCGATGACATGTGTCAACCAAGTCAGCGAGCCTGACCACCGGATCCCGTTAGTCGCCTCTTACGACAAGCATGGGTTATTGAAGATCAATTCTAACCCGGATCTTCACGGGTGAAATTCATTTGAGGCATGTGTACAAGTTGTATGCCGACTCGCCCTTTTATACTGTTTTTGATGTCCGTCCTCTCATACGTCCCGCGACCAAGGCTGTGTCTGTACAACTTTGAACTGGTGACACGCATGTGGGACACTGACCTTGTTCAAACACAGCACACAAACGGTGCCAGGCCACGGTGCCACGCGACACATGTTGATCCGCACATATGAAAACACGGCTCTGGTTGCAGATTGTGAACATGAGGTTTGCTGAAACCATCTTACAGTACATGTATTCATGGACAGACTGTTACCTGTATTATTGTATTCGGGAGATGCTTTCAACGTGACCCATGAGGGGGTCACTGTGCTAGTGTTTAGAATGTCCTTGATACTCCACTGGTAGGTTCTGTGAGAGTTGGCCGACTGACCTGAAACGACGTGTCAAGTTATACAGAGAATATCTTGCTTGTCGTAAGAGGCGACTAACAGGATCGAGTCAATCCCAATTGCGTAGATCGATTTCCCATGATGTCGATCACTGGATTGTCTGGTCCTGAATCCATTATTTACAGACCGGCGTCATATAGCTGGATAGCTGGAATATTGCTGAGGGTGGCGTGAAACAATCAAACAAACATTGTTGAGGGTGGCGTATGTCAATGGATGTGGTAGTTTGATTTGTAATTGGGGGTGGGGTGGGTGGGGGTGGGGGTGGGGTGGGGTGGTTAATCAAAACAGACCAAAACAAACCAAATTGTGGAGAGATCGTGTGTGGTAGATCTGCCCGAGTTTGGTGTTAATTGTACCACCATGAACTAAAGATGGGTACAATGTGTGAAGCCCATTTCTGGTGTCCCCCGCCGTGATATTGCTGGACTATTGCTAAAAGCATCGTAAAACCCAACTCGCTCACTCGTTTATTTGCGCAGGTGTTGTGTTGTGTAATGTTGTGTTATGTAATGCTGTGTTGTGTTGTATGTGGGTTGGTATCGTCAACCTCTTGCCAAGCGAGCTGATTCCCCAACACTCGCCTTTAATACATTGGTGCAGGCCTGGCACCATCGCCTCACTGAGGCCATTAAACGTCAATGAATATCCCGGGGAAGACCATTCCATATACGAGGAAGGGTTTGGCGTAGTTCCTGCAGCGTAGATGGAGGATTCGGATGACGTCGTAAACGTCGCTCCATTTTATCCCAGATGTGTTCAGTGGGTGACAGATAAGGGGATCCTGCGGGCCAGGTTAACACATTATCATTGTTCTGATTTAACAGACATGATAGTGCAATCCTTTAGCTCTTTAGCGCTAACTCAGTCCCTCGCCTGACAATGCCATCAGACAGTGGTCGGTCTGACTCGGCTTGCCCTGAATCTGCCCAACTCTTAGTAGGATACAACAGGTTTGTGTTCCCTTCCAAATGTGTTTGCTCGTTTGTTCGGATGCTAAAGATGTTTTTGCAATGCATCACAATGGTGAAAGGTCATTTAAAAAAATGCCATCAGACATAAAAAAACTGAAAAATCAAACAAATTTATTATATATTCTTTATATATTTTTAAGTGTGAAAGAATACGAATTTGTGTTTGAGAAAGTGAAATATTCACTGCAGTGACGGAAATTTGAGATGTTTACTGAAATGAAAATATCACTTTACCGGAACTTCTTCATAAATTTTAGGGGGTCATTCACATTGTACTTGTACATGAGTCTACATAAACATCACCCCCTAGCAGACAAAATATATTTTGACCGACTGTCTCATAAATAGCAACCTATGATGAGGTCACAATATACCAAATTATTGAACATGACGTAATTTTCTCGATTTTGACCTCCATGCAGATTTGTACATTGATAAACTAGAACATTAAGTTTGAGTGCCGGAATTCGTATATGTATTGGACAGGGTCGATCCGTTGTTCGTCCATTCATCATTAGAAATATAATATTCGTTGAAATGATTCTTGATATCTCAATCACACAGAGAATATTAGACAATGAAGAATATTTTCACATAAATACACTCGGAAGATTTCTGATAACAATTAAATTCAATAACTAAAGCATGGTCATTAGGGCATTCAAAGTCACAATTATTTTAGAAGACTAAGGCGCCAAAACAAAGCAAGTTTGTCGCTTGCTTGAAAAATACCACTTTTTTATGTGGCATTATTAAGAAATGTAATTTTCTTGAGCTCTATGCAGTCATTTCATGTCCTTCCCCAAACCACGTAAAGGCATTTTGATTGTGTCCTCGGTTCAAATTGTCTGAAACAAAGGTCGTTTTGACATGTAATTGAAATGTACATCGAAGTCCGATTAAAAATACTCACTTGAATTATTATGATATTATAGATTTACTTGATCTTTTGTTTGCGCAGAAATGCAAAACGTTTGACAGTTGTAATTTAGAATGTCAAAACGTATAGAAATGTTATGAATAAACATTATGAAAATAAAGATATTAAACTCAACTCTAATGTTTTCGTTGACGAGGACGGTATCCATTTCCGTTGTATGATTGGCTGCCTTAGGTCACATGTGTGATTTGACCAATCACGATCCTTATAGCAGACTGTGGCGAAAAAGTGTCATTAGAAACCAATCTTTATCCAATAAAATCGCTTTTTACAACTGTGAACATACTCTCGGCGAGGGTAGAGTGATATTGTTGATGTTCCAGAGCTGTCGAACGATACCAGACACCACACGATTCGCCTCGCATGTTATTCATACGAAGCTTCGAAAACGGCGGTATTTCCCGATGTTGTGTCATGTTAACGAACGGAAAGCCTGATTACATAAAAATGAAAATATAAAAGAAAAAGGCACGGGCATGTTATGACATGTCACAAATGAAAAAAAACCCGCTACAGTATTTGCTTCTTTCGTGGTTTATCTGGACATTATAAATGTAAGCTTGCATTTTCATTAAAAAATAAATTTATTTAAGTTGTAGTTGTATTATTTCAATTTTATTATAAAAATAAACTTCATATTTATCAACATGATATAGGTAATGTCTGTGAATGTCTACATCTCTACAATCCAAGATGGCGGTCAAATGTGAATAACGAACATCGGATATAGCGAACTAAATTTCTTGGTCCCTTGGAGTTCGTTATATCCGTGTTCTACTGTATTTGAAATTATTATTACGCCAGTGGTGCCCGGGCTTGGGTAAGTTTGCCCTAGGTGTGTTGTGTACTTGATTGTCATGTTTAACTTGCCAGTTTCAACGAATCAATTATAGCAAATAATGGCTTCATAATGTCGATGTTTACAAAATTTGCGACAACATTTATAATATCTTATATTAAGTGAAGTGACGTTTATCACTTTTGTTGTGTAATTGGTTTTTACGTCAATGTTGGTTTTTCAATTGGAATAAGTTTTGGTTATTTCTCAGCAAAAAAGTACCTGCCCCTCAGTCTAAATAAAAGTGAAATAAAATTTCGATATCCCTTTCGAATTCACGATGTCCTAATAATTGATAATGGAAATGCTACAATCCACAATTGTCGGACTCTTAAAACATTTGTTGGATGAGCGTCAACAGGATGACAAATAATAGTCTTAAAGTCCGAAACAAGAGTATAATAGTAGCAATGGAAAGTCGCCATCAGTAATAGGAGATATGCAGTATGCATTTAGCCTGACAATTAAAGAGAACCCATTGTAGCAGGGATTTTGTTAAAATACAGGCATCATTATCATACTAACTCATACAGTACCATACTTATTTCCTGCAACTCCCAGTACAGTACCGGTGCAACAACCATCAGAGCGTACAGTTTATATTTTTCCATGTTTCAGGCTACATAAGACGTATTTTGTTGTAAAAGTGAACAAAAGCACCATGTGGTCATCACTTGCGTAATATCAGGAGTAAAACAAACTTTTTCGCGATCGCTACGTTAGCTTCAGTCGGGGAGCCGCTTGAAATAGACATTTATGACAAGAGTGAGTGAGTGAGTATTGTTTTACGCCGTTTGTAGCCTGGGTTGTCCTTGTAAAACTGTACAGTGGAAAATTGGCTGTTGCAAGGGTGCAACATCCGGTTTTCATGTACAGTCGAATACCCCCTGTGTGATTGTCACTCACTTAAAATGATGTATAACAATAAACCCAATTCCTGAAACCCATGATTGTCGCTTTTGGGAATTATGCATTTAGATAATTTCAAATCCTTAAACGCATAATTTCCCAGACGGTAATTTTGCTTTTAAACACGACCAACCTCTGATACCAATTACTGTTGGTAATGAGAATGATGGTACACATTTCCCCCACTTATGTTTCTGACTGCGCTTCAAAATACTTGTTGCCTCTATCGCCTTACCTGTCAGTGAAGGTGGGAAACCGCCTCTATCTAAATAACATAACTTTACAAAACCTTTTTAACAGGCACATGTCGTCCGGCGGAAACAGTTCTAGCCTGGCCGAGAAGCCACTTCCGGTTCCGGTTGTTTCACAGCAGAAGCAGTCATGGGTGAAAAGAATAAAGCTGAAAATGGCTAGTCCTGTGTACAGAGAAAAGTTCTACTACACTTTGGGCTTGTATCTCTCGTCTTTCTTCTCTGTAAGTACACCTTCAGTACACACTTGAAGTTTAGAATGTGTACCTGAACAGCCTTATCTATAATGACACCTTGCCCGTAAAGTGTAAACCAAAACAATCCTTTGAGGACAGGCTAACCACACTCTAAAGGTGAAGCGCAGACCCTCCTCTTAAAGTGACGTGTGGTACTGTGCATTGAGCTCAGGTCACAATCAGGTGAAGTTAAGCAACGCTGGGTGCGGAGAGTTCTTGGATGGGTGACCGTGTTAGGCAGCTTGACTCCTGAGAGTTTCTAGGACTTAGTCCTGCCCAACAACGAAGCACATGTGACATGTAGTCTCACCTTAGGCAAGTGAGTTTGTTCAAAATTGCCCCTGTTCACCCAGCAGGAAATGGGTACCCGAAGGCATAACTCATGTAACCACAAACCTAGCACATCACAGGCAGCTTGGGTTATCCGGGGTAATAATGATCAGATTGTTTGAGCATGCATTGTCATCCCTGCACGTACACCTGCACCACATCCTTGACGTGTACGTATCATCCTCCACTTGGAGCCTAAGCACACCTTGATTATACCCTTGACCTGATTTCCTTACTGGGTGAGTGAGTGAGGTGTTACCCCGCTTTCAACAATATTCCAGCAATATCACGACGGGGAACACCAGAAATGTGCCTCGAAACTATTCTTCGGTGTGACGAGCGAACGCTTTAACTACTGGGCACATCGTCCCAATTTCCTTACTGATATCCAAGTCCAACAGCGTTACTATGTATGGTGACTGTCTTCCTATACACTATATTCTACAGGGATGGATAGTTGGACTGAAGGGACCAGCGTTCCTCGACCTTCAGCAGATCACTGGAGTTGGCACAAGCAAGGGTGCAGCCTTCTTCACAGCTGCAGCCGTCGGAGGTGTAGTTGGAAGTTTGGTCGGTGGCGCTCTCTACGACAGATTCAACCGTCACGTGGTTCTGTTTGTGTCATCCTTCCTGTATGCTGTGACGTGTGCAATCATCCCCTGGTGTTCTGTGTACTGGACAATGGTCATGATGTTCCTGTTACACGAACTGGTTACAGGAGCTGCCAGGTCAGGTAAGACACTATGTCTCTACTGCAGCGAATCTGAGCTGGTTACAGGAGCTGCCAGGTCAGGTAAGACACTATGTCAGGTAAGACACTATGTGTCTACTACAGCACATTTCAGCTGGTTACAGGAGCTGCCAGGTCAGGTAAGTCACTATATCTCTACTACAGCACATCTCACCTGGTTACAGGAGCTGTTAGGTCAGGTAAGTCACTATGTCTCTACTACAGCACATCTCACCTGGTTACAGGTGCTGCCAGGTCAGGTAAGTCACTATATCTCTACTACAGCACATCTCACCTGGTTACAGGTGCTGCCAGGTCAGGTAAGTCACTATATCTCTACTACAGCACATCTCACCTGGTTACAGGAGCTGCCAGGTGAGGTAAGTCACTATGTCTCTACTACATCATATCTCAGCTGGTTACAGGTGCTGCCAGGTCAGGTAAGTCACTATGTCTCTTCTTCTGCACATCATAGCTGGTTACAGGTGCTGCCAGGTCAGGTAAGTCACTATGTCTCTACTACATCATATCTCAGCTGGTTACAGGTGCTGCCAGGTCAGGTAAGTCACTATGTCTCTTCTTCTGCACATCATAGCTGGTTACAGGTGCTGCCAGGTCAGGTAAGTCACTATGTCTCTACTACATCATATCTCAGCTGGTTACAGGAGCTGCCAGGTCAGGTAAGTCACTATGTCTCTACTTCTGCACATCATAGCTGGTTACAGGAGCTGCCAGGTCAGGTAAGTCACTATGTTTCTACTACAGCACATCTCAGCTGGTTACAGGAGCTGCCAGGTCAGGTAAGTCACTATGTTTCTACTACAGCACATCTCAGCTGGTTACAGGAGCTTCCAGGTCAGGGTAGTCACTATGTTTCTACTACAGCACATCTCAGCAAAGTTGTGTTTTACGTTGCATGTGACCTTGAAGGATTCCCTTTCCTCTGTTTCAGGTACAAACGTGGAGATCGTGGAGGAGTGGGGCGACGAGGGCAAACCCTTCATGCAGGCTCTGCATTTTTCCTTCTCTCTCGGGGCAACCGTTGCCCCCTTCGTCCTTGAACCATTCCTCTCCCCAGAACCTGTGACAGATACAGCTAACGCTTCTTTCACAACAACAAATGACCCCTCCTTCACGACAACAACTTCCAGCATGACGACTATGGCACCCCCTAGGCCAGAGAGTAATATCCATTATGGCTTCCTCATTGCTGCTGTTCTCTCAGGGTTGTCATCCTTCGTGTTCCTCATCAAAAACTTCCACGAAAAGAACAAGGGTACAGGTAACATTCGACGGAAGGACACACAAAAGGACACCAAGGACCAGGAAGAGGAAGAAGGTCCCGTGAGGAAGAAGAGAACCCTCCCTCGACATCTTCTCATCATCACCCTGGCACTCTTTGCTCTCTTCTACTTCTTCTTGGATGAAGTAGAGGACACCTCTCCTTCTTTCTTGGCTGTGTTTGTCGTGAAGCAGATGAATTGGACAAAGAAATATGGTGGACGCCTGTCTTCCGCCTTCTGGGCCTCCTACACAGCAGGGAGAGGGGTTGGCATCATCCTCATCAGTTTCGTCACACACACCCAGTTCTTCACCATCTGTTGTGTGGTCCTCTGCACGTCCCAGCTCGGTCTCCTTCTGTCAGCCACCTATGGATTTGGTACAGGAATCTGGATCAGCATTGTTGGTATTGGGCTGGCGATCTCAGTGGTGTTCCCTGCAAGTCTCACTTGGACAGAGAAGGAACTTGTCCAGCTCTCAGGGAAGCTGATGGGAGTCATCTATGTTGCCTTGAGTCTTGGCGGACTTGCAAACCCTCAGATCATTGGGGTGACTATGGATCTATATTCACCAATGTGGTACAGCTATGTTTTATTTGCGGAGAGCATCTTGTTTTCAATCACCTTCCTTATTTTGGTGGCGTTTGTAAAGAAGGTACTCTCAAAACACAAACAGGAAACACCTAAGGTTGTTGAAGTTGTCAGGATATGATTAAGAGGGGAGGCAACTATGCAAGTGGTTTGAAATCATGTTTGTCACTTATACCAGTACATAATCCATTTTTTAAAATATCTTTTTATATTTTTTTTTATTCATTCAAAATCAGTAGATACATGTATACAAAGTACATGATGCAACAACACTTGTACACCGTAGAACATAATCTTGCTGTAATAGTCTAAATAGTGATTGTTTGTCAATAGCATAGTTACGATTGATTTCTACAGCAGGCTTTTCTGCGAATCAACAGGGATCTTATTTTAAGGCAGCAAAAATATCAAGAAACCCGGTCTCACATGCTTTCATAAATGTTGTCCCATTGCTTATTTTGTACAATATGTTTTTTTGAGTAAACAGTTGTCTTTCCTTATTGTTTTGACGAGAGTCCTAGAAGAGACAGGATGGGCCTACCTTTTCTCGAACACCCGGCGTTATCTCTGTCTGACAGTGATTCATAAACACAGGCTTACAATCTTTGCTTGTAAGTGTTGATTTCTTTTGATGATGGAATTGTTTTGTTCTGTTGAATACCTTTTGCTTAAAGGAAATAACCGTTTGAATAGAAAACTATTCAATGCTGGTAACAGTATACGGGAAAGTGTGACACCTTCCACTTTGTAATTGTTGAAAACAATATGAGAGGCTACAGGTTGATGTCCTTCACAAGACCAATGCTTATCTGGAAGGATGTGATTCTGTTCTTTGCCTGCCTCTAACTGGTAAAGGTGCAGCAATACGGTATCATGGCCTCAGACGAATTTTGTAAATTTAGGCCAATGACTGCTATACTTATCTTCTCTAAAAGAGAATTTCGACGTAGTCATAGAATCAAGACAGACATTACCAAGTTTCAAACACAGTGGGGGGCTTTGTAAGCTGACGAAAGGCGAGATTTGGAATCCTTCTCAGCAAAGACCATTTAGATATTCCGAATTGGAACTTGTCCTCTCGAGTCTGTGATGTTGACTTGGTGGATCTGTGGTCAGACAGGTTGACAGTGGTGATTATACATCATCTTACGTTGGCGGCGGCTCATGATATCAATTGTCTGGTAATGAGTTGGATTATTCACAAGCCACTATCATTTAGTTGGGGCTTCTTAGATTTGAATTGAATTAGGCTTTGACTGTTTTTAGAGTTGCAGCTTTAGCCTTTAGCTGAGAATTTTAAAGAAAACTGGACAAAACATCCTGGGAAAGCAGGTTCGTCATGTCTTACCACAGATTATGGAATATGAACATCGATGATCCCCTCCACTACAAGCATAGCAGTGACTTACCTCCCCTTTGAACTAGGGTTGGGCTTATTGCACAAATTTTCGTATTGCGATATATTGGGATATGTGTTGGCGTATTGCAATATGTATTGCAATATATTGTGAAAGTGTAACACACGGGTTAAGGTAATGTAATTTCTGTTTCCTTTCGAATGAAACAATGCCACTGGCCACTGTCAGGACTCAGATGTAGTTGTACACGAAATCAATTGAAAAGGTTTCCAAACTGAAAACTTCGCTCTAAAGTAGGGAACTCGAGAAGAAGCGTCTGCAGCAGCGTCTGACCTTTTGGTTTGTTTATCCCTACAACGAGTGCCGGTACCAATCTAATTCTTTTATATTTATATGGTTTAAAAGTCATGCAAATGCAAATATATGAACAATAAACATTCTCAAAACTATTAATGTATAATAATATTAAGGAAATATAAATGTTATTAGTAGTTTTAACTAGCCACATCTTGAAAATTACCGATCGTTTGCGAAAAGTGTATCGCAATATATCGGACGGTGAAGTTCGAATTGCAACATACCGGTTAACCGGTATTATCGCCCTACCCTACTTTGAACAGTGACCATTAGATCACTAATGACCACCCTCTACCTCAATAAAGCTGTGAGTTACCTCCCCTTTGAACAGTGTCCATTAGATCACTAATGAACACCCTCTACCTCAATAAAGCAGTGAGTTACCTCCCCTTTGAATAGTGTCCATTAGATCATTAATGACCACCCTCTACCTCAATGAAGCAGTGAGTTACCTCCACTTTGAATAGTGTCCATTAGATCAATAATGGCCAGCCTCTAACTCAATAAAGCTGTGAGTTACCTCCCCTTTGAACAGTGTCCATTAGATCACTTATGACCACCCTCTACATCAATAAAGCTGTGAGTTACCTCCCCTTTGAACAGTGTCCATTAGATCACTAATGAACACCCTCTACCTCAATAAAGCTGTGAGTTACCTCCCCTTTGAACAGTGTCCATTAGATCACTAATGACCGCCCTCTACCTCAATAAAGCAGTGAGTTACCTCCCCTTTGAACAGTGACCATTAGATCACTAATGACCAGCCTTAACTTCAATATAGCAGTGAGTTACCTCCCCTTTGAACAGTGTCCATTAGATCACTTATGACCACCCTCTACCTCAATAAAGCAGTGAGTTACCTCCCCTTTGAACAGTGTCCATTAGATCACTAATGACCAGCCTCAACCTCAATATAGCAGTGAGTTACCTCCCGTTTGAACAGTGACCATTAGATCACCAATGACCAGCCTCAACCTCAATATAGCAGTGGGTTACCTCCCCTTTGAACAGTGACCATTAGATCACTTATGACCAGCCTCACCCTCAATATAGCAGTGAGTTACCTCCCCTTTGAACAGTGACCATTAGATCACCAATGACCAGCCTCAACCTCAATATAGCAGTGGGTTACCTCCACTCTGAACAGTGACCATTAGATCACAAATGACCAGCCTCACCCTCAATATAGCAGTGAGTTACCTCCCCTTTGAACAGTGACCATTAAATCACCAATGACCACTCTCTACCTCAATAAAGCAGTGAGTTACCTCCCCTTTGAACAGTGACCATTAGATCACCAATGACCAGCCTCAACCTCAATATAGCAGTGAGTTACCTCCCCTTTGAACAGTGACCATTAGATCACTAAAGACCAGCCTCAACCTCAATAAAGCAGTTAGTTACCTCCTCTTTGAACAGTGACCATTAGATCACTAATGACCACCCTCTACCTCAATAAAGCAGTTAGTTACCTCCTCTTTGAACAGTGACCATTAGATCACTAATGACCACTCTCTACCTCAATAAAGCAGTGAGCTACCTCCCCTTTGAACAGTGACCATTAGATCACCAATGACCAACCTCAACCTCAATATAGCTGTGAGTTACCTCCCCTTTGAACAGTGACAATTAGATCACTGATGACCGCCCTCCATGTAAATATAGCAGCAAGTTACCTCCCCTTTGATCAGTGGCTATATCTCAGTAGTGAGTTACCTCCCCTTTGTAAACCACACCCTATGCCCCCTTAAAACACACACATGCCTCAATATATCCGTGGTCTACACAGACATCAGCGTGAAATCACCTCATTGTCACGTAGATCAATGCACGGTAAACAAAGGAAACTGTCGTAGTCTCTCAAATATAACACAATAGCAAACCGGTCGGCCAAAGCCGCTATATTCATACGCGCTGGCTGTACTGACTGACTGAGTTTGGTTTTACGCCGCTTTTAGCAATATTCCAGCAACATCACGGCGGGGGACACCAGAAATGGGCTTCACACATTGTACCCATGTGGGGATTCGAACCCGGGTCGCGCTGGCTGTAAGATCGCTTACGAATTTGTGTCTATGTAAGTAAATTCATATTTATATACTTATATATTTTTATACACTGTTTATACGCCAAAATAACGAAAAACTAAAGTTTATTAAAAAAAGCAAACTTGGCAAAACTTGACTCATTTTGCTGATAACTATGGTCGTATGACAGTAACAAGCGCGATCATTTTCAAGATACAACGCTAAAGATCACTTAAGTATCAATAACCAAGCTCAATGTCAATATCAAGATATTTGGTTGTGCATATGCGGTGTTTCTGCGACCCCTAACACAAGCTCGACGACCAGTCATGAACAACAATGGAATTGTTTAAGATATTTGACTCTATGATTGCACCAATACTCTGTTACGGATCTGAAATATGGGGAACAAGCTACTGTTAAATTATTGAAACTGTGCACACCAGATTTTGTAAGTAATTTCTTAAAGTCAGTAAAACTACCAATAACAACATGGTTCTGGGAGAGTGTGGGAGAGCTCCCCTCTAGAATCAATACATCTCAAGAGCAGTCAAGTACTGGTGCAGACTGATGCAGCTTCCACGAAACAGACTCCCTTATCAGGCATATCAAATGATGAAAACTCTGGATGATAATGGTAATACAACATGGGCTTCTCATATAAGGTTGATATTATTTCAATATGAATTTGGTTCCTTATGGATATCTTAAGACAGGCTGTGTATTCACATTCATGGAAATGTTTAAACAGAGATTTTATGACTCCTTCAATCAATACTGGTATGCATAATTATTTTCGTCATCCAAATGTAATTACTATTCACAATTTAAATCATCTCACAGCGTCGAACCATATTTAACCAGTGAACTGGTACCAAATCAACGTCAAATTATAACTCAGTTTCGGTGCTCTAACTTCAGACTCGCAGTGGAATGTGGCCGTCATACAAACACCCCGTATAATGAACGTCTCTGCCTCTTTTGTCATGCTGCTGGCCTTGATTATATTGAAGATGAATTAAATATTTTATTAATATGTCCAAAATATTCCTAACAAAGATCTGACTGTTTTTCAAATCATCTGACTCAATCACCGACAACTGAAACCTTCATCCCACTTTTGTCATCGGGCAACATCCATATTTTAAAATTATTGAGTAAATATCTTTCTGTAGTTCGTGGTATAAGGAATGAATAAATATAACATTAATTAACACTAAACTATACTCAGCTTTGAGTACAATGTGTGAAGCCCATTTCTGGTGTCCCGCACCGCGATGTTGCTGGTGTAAAACCAAACGCACTCACTGTTCTCGTGACAGGAACAGGACGATCTCGAAGATGTTTGGGTGAGCTTTGCCGACGTATCTCTTCAGACGTGAATGCCACCCTACCAGGTTGTTGTTGGTTCTTGACCCATCTAAGATGTGGTGGTTCCATTGCCTTCCACTGCGATATGTTCACCTTGTGCGACGAATTCACCTTAACAAAACATCTAGAGTAGATTATCCGCGACCTTAATTAAGCCTAATCAGAACCTAACCTTCAAAGGAAACCGGCGTCCTGAGACTAGTGGAAAATCGAAAGGTGGGCGTCCTGTGACGACACCCTTGTGCTTTGAGGACAACAACGGACGTCATATAGGTCGTCTGGGTCATTAGTGTGTAAACACGAGCCCGACCGTCATTACTGTACAGGCAAACCTACTCTTGTCGGTGAACATCACACGTCGCCATTCACGCATCTGCCAACGT